CATAACCAATTTATCAGGCCCAGATGAAGATATATTCGAAGAAGTTATTTATAGTCACGGGTTCACGCCCACAATATCCATTCCCACACACCAAATGCCCCACTGCTCAAAAACGTGCATTGATAACATACACACTAATGACATTCACTCATCAACTATATCTGGAGTAATTCAGGATAGTGCTTCACATCACCAGCCCATTTTCTGCCTTCAAGTAATGAATTCTGATACTAGTTCGGAACAGAATAAATCACCTGAAAAAACAACCATTTATTATAACTATAGTAATGCAAACCTTGATAAGCTCTGTGAAGAAATTGAAAACGACATAGATACATTTTACCACAGATGTGACTCTTTTGAATCCTTCATGGATCTGTTTCAAGAAAAGATAGATATATCTTGCAAATTGGCTTCACCAAAAACCACCAAACGAAATAATATAACAAATCCATGGATCACAAACGGCCTTATCAACTCTGTGGAGAAAAAAGCCAGACTTTATTTTGAATGGAAAAAAACAAAAACATTGTTAATTCCAGATGGGGATCTGGAAAGACATAATGTTTACAAGGACTACTCAAAATATCTTAAAATTGCCATAAAAACTGCCAAAACCAGGTATTATGCTGAAAAGTTTGAGAAAAATAGCCATAGCTCCAAAAAAACCTGGCAAATAATTAACGAGCTTCGTGGCAAAAAGAAGAATCAGCTAAAAGATGACTTCATTATAGATGGAACTAGAGTAATCTGTAGGCGGACTATTGCAAACAAATTCAATAGTTACTTTACATCTTTAGCTAGTAATTTAAATGAGAAGGTTTTGTCCGAGAACCAACTGTCTATCCAACCAATGCAATCATTTGTTGAGTTTATGTCGAAATCAGTCAACAGTTCAATACATCTAGAAGAAACTCATCCTGAGGAGATTCTTGAAATAATTCAAGAATTCGTTAACGGAAAAGCCAGTGATATACCAATAGCAGTTATCAAGAAACCGGCTCATCTCTTATCCAACATATTAGCAAATTTGTATAATACATGTATTCAAAAAGGCACGTTCCCATCCATATTCAAAATAGGCAAAGTAACTCCTATCCATAAAAAAGATAATAAAGAAAATATTGAAAATTATAGACCTGTGTCAATATTGCCAATCTTTGGTAAAATATTTGAAAAAATAATATACAAACGGCTTTATACCTTTTTCACTGCTAATGACATTCTCAGTAATGAACAATTTGGTTTTCGAAAAGGCCACTCAACCTCACATGCACTCCACAAATCAGTTCATTCAATCACAACATCAACATCCAGTGGTAATCATGTTCTAGGAATCTTTATTGACCTAAGCAAAGCTTTTGATACTCTTGACCATGGCATTCTCCTGAGGAAACTGGAAAATTATGGGGTTAGAGGTCTAGCTCTAGGACTTCTAAAAAGCTATTTATCCGATAGATCACAGTATGTTTCATTTCTCAACACTACATCAGAGACTATGAATGTAAAATATGGAGTTCCCCAAGGTTCCATACTAGGCCCTCTACTTTTCTTAATATATATGAACGACATAATAAACTGTTACAAAGGCGATGAATGCAAATTTGTGCTCTATGCTGATGACACAAATATATTTATCACTGGACCGTCCAAAGAAGCAACATACTTGAAGGCCAATAAAGTTCTTGATTTCGTATGCAAATTCATGAGAAGTAATCTCTTACATATAAATATGTCTAAATGCTGCTACATACATTTTCTACCTGCATACGAATCTGATGAAACCTGCGCCAGGGTTAGGCCGTATGCCAATGAACATGACAAATCACAAGGAATATTTATAAATGGACACAAAATTGTCAAGGTTAGCAACACCAAATTTCTTGGTGTAGTAATTGATGAAAAACTTAGCTGGGGCCCACATATAGAATATCTAAGAAAAAAAATTAGATCCACTACAGGAGCACTTAACAGGATTAAACATTCAGTTCCAGGGGAACACTACCAAAAAATATACTCTGCATTATTGGAATCACATCTTGCTTACGGAATAAGTGTTTGGGGCTCAGCTCTCAAAGACCAACCAAACGATAAGCTGTTCATAACTCAGAAACGTTGTATAAGAATCCTTTTTGGAGACCTAAATGCATACCTCGACAAACATGCCACTTGTGCACGAGCCAGACCTTATACAAAACAGAGGTTAGGAGCTGCTTTTTTCGAAAAAGAGCACACCAAGCCCATTTTTAATCGACTAAAATTGCTTACTGTTCAAAACTTGTACAAATACCACTGTATATCTGAGATATTTCGAATTATGAAATTTCGCACTCCATACTCGTTGTATTGTACTATAGACTCATCAAAACGTGATACAAGCAATGTCATAATCCTCCCAAGAAAAACCAACACTTTTCTTTATATAGCCTCCAAATTGTGGAATAGCATACATAAACGGATTCTAAATGAGAATGGGGAAATCCTCACTACTTCTGTATCTTTGGTTAAATTACGCTGTAAAAGTATCATCCTGGGATCTCAATCCATCAACAATAATAACACCTGGACTTACCACAACTTTCACATCGCCCCTCACTCAATCACAGACCAAACCATCTCATCACTCACTCACCAAATTGCCGACCCAATATCTATTGAAGTGGCGAAAATTTTCTAGACAAATGATATTTCGATATTATTGCTGCAGCAGATACAAATACCAACATTATTATATTCCCAAACGTTTGAACCTTTAAATTAACTAGGAAAGTCAATCCTCAACTTGACTTTTACTGTTTTAAACAAATATGATGATATTAACTTAATTTATTATTATTATTTTTTTTTTTACATACTCCTTCTTAGTGTGGTGACTTGGGGTCCATAAATATAACAATACAAGCTGATAAACCAAAAAGAACAACTGGGGTAGGTAGGTAGCCCTGGTGGGTGCGTAAACTTTACGGTCTGCTCTCTCCAAGATCAGCCTGCTTCTCCATTTTACCGTGAAGCCTAATTTCTAGTTTTTATAAAATATACAATGCAAGTGCAGGTTTACTAATCTTAATCTACTTAACAACTCAATAGCCCAAGTCACCATACCCGTAGTATATTCCATGGTAATAGAAGAGCTTTAAAGTTTTTCAAATTGTTGCTATAATTGATTTAAATAAAAATTTGTTGTTTTCTTGAAGTAGCTTCTATCAGAACAGTGCCGTGGGAACAGAATTCCCGCCAAAATACCCGGTCTCGGGTCTACCAAATAGTAATACTGATTGGAGTGTACGGTGTGCGGTGTGTTTTGAATTAGACTTACGGCTCACCTAGTTGTTATCCTAATTGCATTATCATCGGTACATAACATAAATAAACTACTGGTAAGTTTAAATACCATGTGCAAACGTGTTCAGTCAATCGACCCACTGAACAACTATAGAATTTCCAAGACCCTATGGCCTATTATTCTCTGGCCATATATTACGGCACGATCGATTGTTAGATGGCTAAACGACCAACGTTAATCTATACAATTCTAAAACTATGAGCTAGCACTTTAATCTAAAAATACACTTTTTATATTACTCCTGATTTTTACATTTCACGTAAAACATTGTCGCCACAGGTTGATCATGGACACTAACAGCTTGATTTGAGATAAATGACTTATGAGTTTCTCTAAAGTTAACTCTAAAGTTGTGTAGTCCAGTCATTTATGGCCATTTATGGAAATGAACCTGCAAATGTTCAAATACTCACGAAACTGTGCACAGACCTTCCCGAAGGTATGAATAAACGATTTTTGTTTGGAGACATTTTTTTGACCGTGGAGAAAACCCAGGAGGGCCACGCCCATATTGACCCAATAACGTAACCGACCCCTTGCTTCTGAAGGTCGTAGAGACTTCAAAATAGGCTTAAACGAAGCCGCATATATGCATGTTTATATAGGAGTTATTGAGCAACACATGGCCTAAAATCCTTACTTTTCGAGAAATTCGCCAAAAACCATTTTGGGCGTGGTGCTGAGCCCATTTTCGATAGGATCGTGATAGAGTCTTTAGACAGGGTGCAAAAGAACCGCAATTAGCATATTAATATATGACTTACGAACAAACATATGTCTTAAAGTGCTTACTTTTTCAGTTATTGGCGAAAAACTGATTTTCGGTTCCAGAAATCATGCAAAACTATGGGTATCTGGTAAATTGGGCTATGAAGGCCCTAAAGGTTTTTGAATGTGTGCAAATTGTGCAGAATATCCATTATCCATGTTTATATACAACTTATGAAGCAACATGTACCCTAAATTACTTACTTTTCGAGTTATTCGGGGAAAAACATTGTATTATGTCCATTTTCTACCTGTAAAATACAGTCTCACGAGCTCTTCTGCGCGCGCAAGGGACTTTATGACGTCATCGCCAAAATAATACAAACGCTATAATTTACACGCGTTAGAGAGCAGTTAGAGATTTAGGAATTTCGACTCGTTGCTTAGTTTGCTATTTGTCACAATCTGTCAAAATATGAGGATAACTTTTTTTTCAGTTAACTGGTCCTTTAACCATACTAAAGTAAAACACTGATTCACCATGGTCATTTCCTTCTCCTATGTGCTGTCTCTCTTCTAAAATATTTTGCCGCCCACCTAAAAATGTGTCTTTAAAAAGAAAGAAAAACGAGATAGGCCTTCTTTATTACATTGGGTCTTATAACAATGATATTTGATATTTGAGACCTGTAATTTTACAATTGTTGTTGTTCATTACAATTTGACTTGATCCAATCATTCAATATAATATCTAAAAACTGTGAAAATTAACTCTCAATCGGAAAACTTTAAAGAAAGAATTATTTCAATCGGATACTGTCTGACTAATGAGCACCAGCGGTATGTTTACTGACTTTTTGTATATAATACATTATAATAAAAGTCACTTTTTGTATAAAATACATTATAATAAAAGTAATTGAATACTAATCAATGTCTTTACAGAAATGAAAAGAAATTGTTTGAAAGAATGTCTAAGCATCCATGCATACCATGGTGTGTCATAAAGTGTTTCACTGCTGATGAGAAGAAGGATTTTGAATTGAGACTAGAATCAAGACTAACTTTAGATGAGTTAAACGAATATGTTCAGACAAAATGTGGGGACAACTACCGATGCTACATTTTGCGGGGTACTGGAACTCTGAAAAAACTTAGACGAGATAGTGAATTTCAGGCTTTGGTGATTCAATGCAATAATGAGGTTGAGCTTTACATAAAACAGTCTAGGACATTGTCTACATCCAAACAAAATCTACATTCAGTAACATTTGGGATACACAGTCAGAAACCATTTGATTCCTACAGCTCTAGTCTCTATGGAGAACTATTCATTACACCCAAAGAGCAAGAACCTAAACCTACTTTTCAAAGAGGTCATCGAAGAACAAAATCTGCTCATGCCACTTACCATCAGCAGAAGCCAGATCTCTACATACCTGAACCCGCAGAGCCTCTAACACCCACTTCAATTTCAAGTAGAGGACATTTCTCGTTTTATCCTAACACTGCTGGAGGGATGTTTGTTCCTGCAGATGGTGCTGCAACCCCAGACTCTGGTTTCCAAAGTCCAGAGCAAATTTTTAGAAGTCACAGCCACGTGAACACCCACAGCCCTGAAAATTCTAGTGCTACATCATCAACTTTATATGAAGGAGACATCCCACGTCATTTAGCTGAAGAACATCCTACAGACAATTTCAAAGATCTTTCAGGTGATGGCAGTATTGCAAGTATTTCATCCATTGATGTCATCGATGCAGACCATTTCTCTAAGACTGAAAAGAATTCGAAGGCTGCAAAGAATTCGTCTGTTCATCTCACTCTACCTGAAAACTATGTGGTGAAAAAAATGATTGGAAGTGGTGGATTTGCAAAAGTTTATCATTGCATTGATCATGATACAGGGCGAGACTTAGCTGTAAAACAAGTATTTTTTGATGCTGAATGTACTGATTCAAATAGAGAATTGAATGCATTGAAAAATGAGATATCTATCTTGAATAAGCTTGAGCATCCAAATATTGTTGTGTACTATGGTTCAAATATCAAAGATGAGCATTTCAATATATTTATGGAGTATGTGAGTGGTGGTTCTATGAGATCATTTATCCAAAATAATGGCCCTCTCTCAAACAAATACACAGTTAAGTGTCTGCATCACATCTTACTGGGATTGTCCTATCTACATCATGAAAACATTATCCATCGTGACTTGAAAGCTGCAAATGTATTGAAGACAACTGATGGCACCATCAAAATTGCAGATTTTGGAGCATCAAAAAGATTTGACACTTTGCGTAGTATAAATGGAGCAAATACTGTTGTTGGAACACCCTACTGGATGTCACCTGAAGTCATTCGAGCTCAGAGTAAGTTATTCTGAAATATAATACCGTTTATAATATCTTATATAATAAAAAAATTACTGAGCTGGGGTACCATAAATTATATTTTGGACGGTCACCTTAGATGGTGTAAGATAAATTCAACTTTTTAATTGATGACAGATCAAGTAGGTTGCAGAGATAATTAAATAGAAACTGCAATATTGAGACTATAACATAAAGATAACTCCTACTAAAACATAATTTTCAGGTTACACAAATCGAGTCGACATTTGGGGCATTGGAGTAACTGCTTTTGAGTTTCTTTCTGGGAATCCACCTTTCTACAATTTGGAACCTTTGGCGGCCATGTTTAAGATTGCTCAAAAGAAAATGCAGAATGAGCTTTCTTTTCCATCACAAGTCCCAGACAGCTTGATAGATTTTGTGTTAGTTTGCTTAGAGCAAGATCCCAGTAATAGACCGACAGCCGATGTTCTGTTGAACCATTCTTTATTCTCTAAAGCTCTGTGAATTTTGCTGTACTGTACTTTATTGTTTTTCTAGTAGCTAGTACAGGCTCGTTATTTGTATTTTGGCATTTTTGAAACAGTTTATACACATATTTATGTGGCATTCATTTTCAAATATAATAAGGTATTTAAACATAATGCATTATGTAGTTACAAAAATTCTAGAATTAAAATCTCTCACAAGTTGTGTTCAAAAGATGAAATACTTTTTCTTTGTGGTGATATTTTTGGTTGGTAAAAATACCGTTACTGCAATGAAATTATTGAACACTGTAGCTTTTCAAAAATAATTGTTTTTAGTTTTTTGGTTCTTACTGAGGGTATAATTTATTTAGTTTAGAGCTATTTAATTATGCAGTTTATGCAATCATATAACAAAATTACTTATAAATAATAAACAATGAAGATTTAATTGACAAGATTTGTAGCTTTTAAAAAGTATGCCTCAATCATGAATAACTTTTACAAGTTATAATACAGTTAAACCCAGAATCACAGTGCCCTGTTATACTAGAACTCCAAGTTACCGGGTGTTTCTCAAACCTCACATTAGTGTCCCTTCGCATGATGTGTTCGGTGTCTTTGAAAACCCCAATTTACCGAGATTCTTGATTGACCGGGAAAGTTGACCCAAATCACAAATGTAAGTGTCATAAAACCCGAAGAAGCCCTGTAAATAGGGAGTATGTTAATGGTACACAAGTTCATATTTCTTATTGCCAAATCATCTTCATATTTCTTCAGAAAACAGTTTCAATTTAACCAAGGGTTTAAACGTCATGTTATATTATTGATGTAAATCAATATCATTTTAATTTCATAATTAAAATTCACCATTTAAGCACTGATTTAACTCTTTGTAGTATAAATAAGTAAATAATCGTTACAGTCGTGGCTCAATTTAGCAGAGGAAGTTTTTCTCGGTACTTATTTGGAATGTAAAATCTTCTGGAATTTTAAACATACAAATTGACAAAATGTAACTCTTACCAAGGTAGAATCAAATAGGTTTTGAATAAGATTATGTCAGAAATCGTGCTTAAATGTGAGAAAAAGTGAAAGAAGGTTCACATGTTGTTTTGAGGAGGACTATAATTGGTGTTATCATAATCACAATGAAGTTATTATGCTTATCAATTTTAAAACTATTTTAATATTTCCTATTGATATGAAATGGTTTTATTGCATCTATATGATTTAGTAAAAAGTGATTAAAGCCATCAATCAGATACGATTTATCTAATTTCCTTTGAGTAATCAATGATTGGAAATTAATATTCTTACAAGTCACCATTCCTGCTTAACCTGAGATACTCAGTGTAGTACAACTTACAATTCTCATCATCCTTTCTGTCAGGATATGGCTGAAAAGCAGAAGAGATCCAAGGCTCACTATGTTCAAAACCAGAAGAGGCAGAAAACACAAGCAAGGGGCCGTCTTGGACTCAATGATTTGAAGTCTAGTACAAAAGGTATCATCGCGACTGCTAATTTCTTGGATTATGGATGCAGACGAGAGGTTTTCAGCCTTCTTGATGATTTCTGTGGCAAGGAGGAGAAGCCTGTATGTAAAGGGAACGATGATGAGGTAGATGAAGAAATAGCAAAAGAAATAGCTGAGTTGAAAGCCACAAAGAAAAGATTTCAGATAGTCAACACAACTCTGAACAACATGATGTTTATTGCAGTTAATGAAGAGTCAATAGATCCCTGTCAGTTAGTCCATCATATCCTGTCTACTCTCCGGGAGAAGAAAGAGCGAAAAACTCGGTTCACTCAAAGAGTACTACCCGTATCCCACACCTGCTATGCATCAATAGAGGACATCAAAAAGACTGCCTTGTTGATGGTCAAAGATCAGTTACACACCAAAACTCCAAAAACCTTTGGTATTTACTTCAAATCGAGGAACAATTCCTCCATCTCCCGCGACGAAGTGATACAGAATGTTGCTACAGTCGCTACAGACGATCTAACTTTTGCTGAGTTCAATAAAGTACACCTCGATAACCCAGAATATGCTATTATTATTAATATTGTCAAAACTGCTGTGTTCATGGCAGTTGTTAAGGATTTCAAATTGCTGTCCAAGTATAACATAGATGAGTTAACGAAAAGCTACACTCCAGTAGTTAAAGAAGAAAAAGCAGCTGATGGAGAGGTAGTGAGTACTGACAATAAAGTGAACGATATAGTCTCCGAAGAAAAAGATGATGTTGTCTCTGAAGAAAAAGATGATGTTGTCGAGAAAGCAACAGAAGTTGAAGCTTGAATTCTATAATCCGACACGGTTTTAACGTGTAATATTTCATATTTTTACTCTGAATATTTGTTATTTTGTTTTAATCTTATCACTCGTTGTCTTAATTTCTACTCAGATTCTTATACCGCAACTTATACTGCTAAGTTATAGTACAGTGATTATTGCCGACAAAAACATGTTTTGACTGTATTATTGCCAGATGTGTGGTATGTGATTTCCCGCTGGCGATTTGCCAAGTTTATTAGACACCGCCGGTTCAATGAATCATAATAATGCTGTGTACAATGTATTATAACACGCTACCTTATTAAGAATTGTTCTAAAAATAAACAAAGCCAGATGACATGGACAGCAATAGTGTATTATATTATTGTGCGTGATACTGTTAACGCCGAACAATGTCCTAACTAAGAAGTTATTAGATTTATCAAATTTCTAAAATGATATCTCCACTGCACTAATCACTATGATATCTTCACTAATCACTATGATATCTTCACTGCACTAATCACTATGATATCTTCACTAATCACTATACTATTTTAACTCCTAGCATTTCATTCAAGCACCTGGTTATTTACAAGATGAGAGTTACAAGAGCCAGACTGAGTACAGCATCCAGTAATTACTGCTCTGCGTCTGACAACGACTCCGACAAAAACTGTGATAGTCCTGGTCAAGTTATGGACTCTAAACGTACGTGCTTTTTACTTATTTATAGTCCAACATTCCAACACTTGATGAATTATAGCTTTCGTTCGTACTAATACTATACACTTATACAATTATATACATTATACATTATACATTATACATTATACATTATATACATTATACATTATACATTATACATTATACATTTGCATTATACATTACACATTACACATTATACATTATTCAATATTCAATATACACTATACAATATACAATATAATACATTATACAAGTGTTGTTTATACTGAACGTTAGTGAACCATTCACTTGATGTACTCAACGTTACAATTTCAGGAAAGAGAACAGAGACAGTCCCAGCCTCGACCCCAGTTATACGACACAGAGACCGGGCTGTTGAGGATATCACCACACTACTGATGTGTCATGTTCCCTTTATCTTCATTACGGGACCAGCTAACAGCGGCAAGTCTTATTGTCTGGACCATATCGTCAAATCAGAGCAGCATAATCTGAATATAGGTACGTGAAACTGTACAACATCTTGGTTAGGTTTTTATTGACTTATACAAACTGGTGGGACGTTTTTCAGATTTGTTTTGACACATGATAGCGAAACAGGAATTTGATTGGTCGCTGCTGTAAGTTTATTGGTTAATCTGTTACTACTACTACTAATAATCTGTCACGTGTAGACCACCTCACCACGCACCAGAACAAACTGATCATGTCACTTGTGGTGCGACTTGACCCAGGTTGAAGTATGTGTTAACATTCCACTAAATGATAATATGAAATACCACATTTAGCCCGCTAATCGCTATTAAGTCATCCCTAAACCTCAAAACCAGCCGTATTCCCCCTTTTTTATCCTGGCAGTAGCATTAACCTGAATGAGATCATCAGAAGGAATGTTAAAGAGAATGCAGCAGCTGGAAAACAGCGTGAAATTTATTGCTGTTGTGATGAGCGAAATATCCTTAATATATGCTAAATATGTCCCGAAAGCAGAAGATAATAATTTGTCGCTAAGATTGAAAATCACCGATACCTAAAACTAAATTCATCCATCTTTCAGTGTTAGTTGACATGAGAGACGTACTGAAAGTTCAGGGTTTCTTCTACTCAGTCCTGTCTAACCTGCCACGTGACACGACAACACCACGTGACACGACAACACCACGTGACACGACAACGTCACGTGACACGACAACACCACGTGACACCCCTATTCCAGACCACACTTCCGACTTTGTCCGACTGCTCTGCTCGAGAGTGTCAGAACCCTGTGTTATTATAGTGAAGCATGCTCAATTGCTTAACGAGCTGAACTCACTGCTGTTCGCAACCGTCACTGTACTTCACCAGCTTTCTCAGGGCAAGGTGAGACACTCCCAAACAACGTAACCAGTATTGCTTGTAATTCAGTTTGGGATTCAGCGTAATAGACTTTTTGTTTATTCTGTAATTTTATAAAATTTTAGCTTCACAGCTGTTTATATTCGTATTTCGTGTGTCACTAAATTATGATTAAGTAGCATGTATCCTTCCGGCTCAGTTTAAATAGTTGACTTTTAAAATACACAATAAACAATAAACATGTATTACAATCTGTAGGTATTATACATAATATGTAGGTATTATACATAATAATATGTTTCATAATATTATGCGCCACATAATTTAACTCCTCTGTTAAGGTGTAAGAATATCCCTCTTATCTCAACCACTCACCACACATTGCAGCAAATATTACGTAATGAAAACTCCTACTGTTTTGTAAATTTGCTGCATCACAACACGTGTACATGCCACGCCGCGCATCACAACACGTGTAGATGCCACACCACACAATACGTACTGAAACTAACACGGTCCTGCGCACTTTTACAGGTGAAACTAATCTCCACTCTACAGGTGAGCGTAGTGATGGTATCTGACACTCCCTGGGAGCTGATCCACCTCAGTACTGGATCTACTCTCTCCCCTCCCGTCATTCTTAACATTCCACCCTATTCCAGACTGCAGGTTAGATACACTTATACTGCATCTCGTACTGTTACTGATATGTAGCTAGCTCATGTTGTATTGCCATATTGGTAGTTCCAGTTCCGCTTCTAAATGGACAGTGGAACTGCAACTGGCGAAACAGTTTGCACTGTGCTTCTCCAGTCCCAGTTCCACAGTATGCACCATGCAATTAGATAACCACTGATTATTTCTTTGAATGGTGATTGTTGCATACAGCGACCGCGGACTAGACGAGAAATTGGCTATTTGAACTTCCATGGTAACTTCCATACAAAACAACATGCGTAACTAAACCGGTCAACAGACATAGCCTTCCCGCTCCAGACTTGAGCACATAATATTAAACCTAATTTAAAGGTACCAAACTCGCTTTGTTTCCACTAAGTAGTGGAAACAAAGCGAGTCAGTGTTGATACCTCGATACTAAGTACCTTTTTAAATGTGACCTCTTTATTTCAGACGGTAGATATCATCGCAATGCACCTGCTAGAAGAGTACTCTGTTCTTTGCTCTGAAATTGATTTCGGGCTGGCGGAGTTAGAAAATTATGTGCGATCTTGTGTGTACGATTCTCTTTCTGTCTACACAAGCTCTCTGAGGGTGAGAACTTTAAATCTTTAAACTTGGATTCATATAATATGTATATGTTGTCTTTCGTAAATTGTATAATTTATTTTCTGTTTCTTGCATGATAATACCCTGCTGAATAGAAATAATCCCCTCAGGAAATGATGACCGCAGCAAGTGCACTTTTACTAAAGTATGTAGCTCCAATCCAACTCCAAGAACTGAAGAAAAGTGACAAGATCAAGCTATTCCACAGAATCCAGCCAGAACTAGTGACCACAATGACACAACTAAGCTGTGTCCCTTCCTTTAAAACCTCTCTAGAACTACCCTACAACCTGAGGATCCTCCTAATCTGCTCCTTCCTGGCTTCTCATAACCCAGCTAGGCTGGACAAGAGGTTCTTCTGTAAGGGCAAGTCCTCACGACGCAAGGTAAAGTCCAGGAAGGGAAGCAAGCTCAGTGATGCTCTTAAGGGCCCCAAGACGTTCCCTCTGGACAGACTACTCGCAATCCACTCCTCGATCACGCAGGTTTGCTCTATTTAACTGTGCGTGATGTGCGGAGATTTTGCACGTGGTGTACGTGGTCACAGCAGCGTTATCTTTCTTCTTATCAGTGCTTACACTACGTCAAACGTAATTTAATCATATTTATTATCTAATCATCTGATGACGTTATTTTTCACGCTTTTATATTTTCAGGATGGTACAATTCCCTGCTCAGATATTCTCATGTCTGTCTCTTCTCTTGTGGCCCTGAACCTGGTGGTCCGTGCTAGTGTGGACCTTCTGGAACAACCCAAGTACAAATGTGTTGCACCCTTGTCTACTATCAGTATTCTTGCTAAGGAGTCTGGGATAGACTTTGAAAGATTTTACTACAATTATTGACTAATTAGTAATTAGCCAATTAGTGACTAATCGTCTGGTGAATTTTAAACGATTTGATATTTCAGATATTTTAATGTAATGCTTATTTATTTATTTGACATTTGGGTTTGTGTTCGATGTTTTGGAAGTTTAAACTTGCCTAAGTTAGGCAGCATATTCTGTTAAAAAGTTTTGATGACCTTTTTTACACATCGAACATTGCAATTGCTTAATATTGATTTTTAGATTGTTTTAATATTTTTGTTATAAAAAATATGTTTTAATATTTTTATCCACATTTTAACAAGTACCTACAGTCCTACAAGCTTTATCTTTATTGAAAATAAATGCCGTTTTTATAATTGAATGTAAAATACAGTCCTCCGTGAGTATTTCAAGTGTGTGATAGAGCTTGAGTAAGAAGCAGCGCTCGCAGGGTAATGAAAGGTATGTTATTAAAGCATGTTCTGACAGGCATGCGAGCAGGGGTATTGATATTATTGATTAGACATTATTTGAACTTTGATTAGACGATGCACTGGAATATCCGAATGTTTTTTATATTTTGATCGCCGAAGGGCCAAAAAATGCGATGTCAGAAAGGTAAGCCCTCTTTATAAAACGCCGGTGCTGTGATAATATAAGTTTAATGTTGAGGAGCAATATACCACTCGTCTAATATGATAAGATTTAATCTTGTTTTAAAATACATCGCTAATCACTGAGCATACATATCCCAGGGTTCATAAAGTCATGTTTATTGCCTTGCACGTTGCAGTCTCCGCTCTGCTGGTCGCTCTTGTGTACTGGCACATCTCAGCTTACAACACCAGAAACCGGTACACCCACATTCCTTCTTTCCCCATTCCAATCTCTTGGAAATGGATTGGTGGACATCTACCCCTGATCGCTAAAAGACGGAGACAGTTAGGAGGTCATCGGATAAAGAATTTTGCTATGATACTGGATTGGATTAGAAAAGATTTAGATGTGAACACTATGGTCCTCTTCGTAGCAAACAGACAGATGATGTACACTATTCACGTTCCTATATCTGCTAAAGTGCTGAGCGACCACAGAACGTTTATGAAACCTGGGGCGAGAGAATCTAAGATAGCTTATGTGAATGGGGAGAGGGTCTTTGGAGACCATGGGATAATAATGGAACCGGGAACTGAGGTTTGGTATCACAAACGGAAAATGATGGACCCTGCTTTTCAGAAAAAATATCTGAAATGCCTTATGGAAGACATGAAAACGATTACAAATAAAATGTGTCATGTTTTGGAACAGAAAACCGACCAGAAAATTATCGATATTTATAGCTTGCTGAACAAAGTTGCCTTAGAAATTATTTGTACCTGTGGGTTCAGTCTCAGAGACGACTTTGTCATGCTTGAAGAATCTGAACTGAACAAAGCCGTGACCGATATGTTGGAAATAATCCCACTTTCGTTGAGGGAATCGCTTACATTTTGGATGCCATGGAAATTCAACCAGGAAAAGAAGAGACTAAAGGAGGCTAACAGTTTGCTGAGAGGAACAGTAAGAAAGATCTTGGAAGCACGCATTGAGACGCACTCAGAAAATCCAGACGCTAGCCCAAATGATATTCTGGGTCATATCATCAGAGGTCGGTAAACTTCTGTGTAGATTTTTAAACATACGTTGAATTGTGACAATATTATAAACAGTGGTAAAATAACCGCAATTCAACTTCCTTGTCGATTGGTTTCATTATCATTTATCATTAACCTTACTCTTCTTGATCCTTTAAATTTCAGCAAACATGTTTTCGGGCAACATATCGATAGAGGATCTACTGGATGACTTCGTAGTGTTCTTAGCGGCTGGAATGGAGACGACTGCTATCACCATGTCATGCTTAATTTGGCACATACTTAAACAACCTGAGATATCCCAGAAGATCGTTGCGGAGGTTGGTTCGAGAAAGAAAATGAATATTAACAAAATATAAATATCTACTTACTTTTACTTTGGGCGATCCTCAATCGAAATCCCATTCACTGTCTGCCTCCACACGTCTCGATCGCACATAACAGTTCGAAGGTCGTCTAACTGGAGCCCAGTGTCACGAGCTACTACATCCAGGAAGGTGAGTGGTCTCCTTCCACGGCCCGATTGGGCAAGTCGCCAGGGGAGGATAGTGGAGATAACTTGGTCAGAAGCTCTCATGCAATGCCCAGCAAATCTGGAACGCCTCGACGCAACCACTGAGGCAATAGATGGAAGGTTGCCATAGATCTGCTTGAGGGTTGGATGCTTCTTCCACGAGATGTTCTTGGCCTTCATTAAAAGACGGGTGTAGCATCCGTTGAGGCGTTTCTCAAGCTGCTTGTTTATGGTCCATGTCTCTGATCCATAGAGCAATACTGGTTCGACACAGGCTCTAAAGAACTTGACTTTCAGTTGTTCGGAAATGCCAGAGGACCAGACTTTTTGCAGTTTAATACAGGCTGACCAGGCCATTCCTTTCCTTGTGTTGAAATCCTTTCTACTGTCCGCAATGAAAGAGCCGAGGTATTTAAAGTCATCAACCTGTTTAATCTGGCGGCCTGAGATAGAATGTAAGTCGACAGTGTCAGGGATATTGATGGTCATGAACTCGGTCTTAGAAGCATTCATAGCAAGACCAACTTGTGCGGCTGCATTTTCAAGGTCTGTCAGCAGAAGTTGGACTTGCTCTATGGTGTCTGAAATTAAGGCCAAATCATCAGCAAAGTCAAGGTCTGTGATTTTGACCGCAGGCACTCTTCGGCTTTTCCTAGGCACGATGGTAAGACCGAATTCGTCACCCATGCAGCTTCTGAGGACATAGTCAAGGACGATGATGAAGAGAAAGGGTGCTAGAGTGTCTCCTTGAAGAACTCCAATAAGTGTCCTAAAAAAGTCAGTAAGGCCGTCGATGGTCTGGACACGAGAGAACGATGAGTCATAAAGAAGCCTGATAGCATCTACAAGTGGAGTAGGGATACCGTAGAGGGAGAGGATGTGGAAAAGGGCATCCCGGTTAATGCTGTCGAACGCTTTCGAAAAATCGACAAACACAATTGCGGCTGAACGATTTCCGATCTTGCATTCCTCGAGTATACGACGTAGGGCAAGGACCTGTGGGAGTGTGGATCTTCCTCTACGGAAACCATTTTGGTTTGGCCGCAAGAGGGGATCAATGAATGGGTAGATCCGGTTGAGGATGAGCTTGTTAAAAACTTTCGCTGCAACCGGTGCCAGTGAAATGCCACGGTAGTTTCCTGGATTAGTAAGATCACCCTTTTTGGGGATAGGAATGATAGAGGCCGTTTTCCAGGCTTGGGGGATCACACCATCCATGAGTGCTTTATTACAGAATCCGAGGAGGTTTTCACGTAGCTGGGGAAGCTTCCAGACTGAGGGAGGGATGCTATCTAGACCGGGTGACTTGGAGGACTTGGCGGACTTCAGAACCGTGTCGAGTTCTGACATGCTGAAGGATGAGCAGCTGATGGGCAGGGTGTCAGAGACTCGCTGGTTGAAGAAGGGGAGGGTGAGGTCCGGCGGAGGCTGTTCTGTGCCTAGAAGGGACATAAATATCTAGTATCTACAGAAAGTTGGAAGTCTTTTAACTTTTGACATGAAGTAGATTTATGCTTTTATGGTAATTAGCTCCGTCAATTTTACAAACAATGTTGCAGATTAACGAAGTCTATGGAGGAAAGGAAGAGCTTGAATTCGAGGACTTAAATAAGCTAATCTACTTGGAACAGTGCCTTAAGGAGTGTTTGAGACTTCACCCACCTATTCAACTATCGTTCCGGAGAAGTCCTAATCGCGATGTTATTGTTGACCATCTTCTTATACCAAGAGGTTAGTGGTTACGTAATTATTTAGAGTCAAATCAATCATTAATTGAATTGTGTTATCATCCAAAACAAATGTATCATATTATAATGTTATGAACAAGAATCGTTCATTATTACTAAGTTATCTAGAAATTATTTAACTTTTTTTCCCTCAGAAACAACAATTGTGATGTCGACGGAGGCTATTCAGCAGCTTGAGACTCACTGGTCGAATCCGGACAAGTTCGATCCAGAGAGGTTCGCGCCTGGTAAGAAGATACAACCATTCACATACTCTCCTTTTAGTGCCGGCCCTAGACAGTGTATCGGCAAACATTTCGCCATTATGGAAGCAAAGGTTGTGTTGGCTGCCTTGTTTCAAAAGTTCCAGCTTTACGATCCGTACCCGGAGGAGACTAAGCTAGAGAAGGTTACTAATATGACCTGTAAACCTAAAGACGGAGTTTTCATCGGAATTCAACAGTGATGTAATGTTTATTTTTGATCGACCCTCTTTTGGTTGGCCATGTTTGGCACAAAAGCAAGTGATGCTAACGTGATCCTTTTTGAATTAATAAGTTTTGATTTTATAAGATTTGATTTAACAAGATTTGAATTAATAAGTTTCGAATTAATTGCTTGTGATCTCTGAAAGAGGAAAGGTCCACAGAAATTATTGTTTGGCCATTTTTGTTTGGCCATTTTTGCTTGGCCAGATTTGTAATTTGGCACAAAAGCAAGTAATACTAACTTGATCCTTTTTGATTTTTAATAAGTTTGATTTCATAAGTTTTAATTTATAATAAGTATTGATTTAATAAGATTGCTAAGAAAGACACAAGGTCCACAGAACTGCATGAATTGATATCTCTTTATTAAATGAAATATTTATTATATCTTCTTATTGTAAATAAATTTGAAAACGTTGACCTTAATTTTCGTGTACTTACTTTGTTTACATTGAATATAACCGTGTTGACCCATTGGTTAAAGAGTTGACTGCGAGGAGAATGGATCAAAAAATGTGAGGGAAAGAAAATAACCGCAGTCAATCAGGTTTTTTTGCAGTAAATTAGGTTTATATCATTGAAATGTAGATAAAATATAACTGGAAATTGTACAGAAAAAGATATTGTAAACGACCAAATTTGAGACAAAAAGCTTGAATCTAATGGGGTTACAGCATTAAGGGGACATACACCAAAACCGTTTTAAATGGTTAGACCCACCAGATGACTTCATATTAGGAGAATATGGGGGAATGTGGACAAAAACAATAAGTTTCCTGCTTCTTGGCTCCCTGCTAACAGCTCCACGAACTGTAATGTAGACATCAACTTATGAAGAAAGTTTCGAATAGAAAAAGCGATTTTTCGAAAGTGCGAATAATTTTATGACATTGTGGCTAAACTTATTGTTTTGGTGTATGTCCTCTTAAGTAATGGTGAACTTATTGGTGGTGAATTGATTTGTAGCCTGCTCTAAATATGTTATCTTATATGAGAACTCTTCCCTTATCATGTATGTATGAACAGTTGAATATTGAACATTCATTTTTAACTGACTAGGTTTTATCTAGGCATGGTATTGACTGTTTATGCAGTGATCGCAGCTTCGTTCATCTATGTCGTCTACGTACACATTTCTACTTATCTAAAGCGAAGATCATACTCTCATATCGCGTCATTTCCCATTCCTTTAACTTGGAAGTGGTATCTGGGCAATTTGTATTTGATGCGGAAGAAGGGTTCAGAAATGGGCTTGGAAGGCCCTTCTTTTAGCTTCTCCAAGGTAACAGAAGCTCTTAGAAAGGAACTTGAAACTGAAAGTTATGTTATCTTCTTTCCTGGTGTTGCCTTGGTATACACAGTTTCAATTCCTGTCGTTTCCAAAGTGTTCAGTGACCACAAAACCTTTTTGAAACAAGATCCTCGTGCTGGGAGGTTGGCCTATGTGAATGGAGAAAGGGTCTTTGGGCATAATGGACTCCTTACAGAAGCCGGAACTGATGTATGGTACTATAAGCGTAAAATGATGGATCCAGCTTTTCAAAAAAAGTTCTTGAAATGCCTAATGGGGGACATGACGAATAGTGCAAATAAATTGTGCCAATATTTGGAGGGAAAGAAAAGCCAAAATGCCATCGACATTTATGGTATCATGAACAGGGTTGCACTAGAAATAGTATGTACTTGTGGGTTTAGCCTGAAGGACGATTTCATCATGCGTGAAACATCCGATCTTAACAAAGCTACGGAAAGTATTTTTGAAGTCTTGACATTGAGTTTTCGTTCAAGAGGTGGCTTTTCATTTAGGCTTCCTTGGAAATTCCGAGAAGAAAAAAGACGACTGAAAGATGCTTGTGCCTTGATGAGGGGGACAATGCGAGCTTTATTAACTAAACGGATGAAGAAAAACTCAGAAGACCCAGAAAGCATTTCCAACGATGTTTTAGATCACATCATCAAAGGTAGGATCTTGTGTGTGATAATCTTGATTATAGCGAATTCTTTGATCTGCTTTTATCATCGATGTCACATAAATTGTGTAGCGAGGAATGAGATATAATTTTATTCTGTGCATTGAATCAGGTATTCAGCGTAGGATTAGTTTTGAATTGTAATGTATAATACATAGATATTAAATATTGTATATAAATACAGGGTGGGCCAAAAGTCAGTACAAAAGGCCAACCCTGTATTACGAAAAATATTTTTATTTTGTATACAGCTACCTTGTCACATTCCTGTCTCTCTTCAGGGAACAATTTTTCCGACAAAATATCAATCGAGGACATTTGCGACGACTTCTTTGTCTTTTTGGTGGCTGGAATGGAGACTACTGCTATAACTATGTCGATCACGATTTGGCTTCTCCTAAAACATCCTGAAATATCAGAAAAAGTCGTTAAAGAGGTGAAAGATTCGATAGCATGTTCAAAAGATTCGAATACTGGTGACCATTACAAACTAAATAGCTCTTTAAAGATATTGTAATTACTAGAAAAATACCGGGTCGTGATAGACGACAGTGTCTGATAGTTATTATTTTTTCAAATTTCCAAGGTGGTGTTTAAAAAATTGAAAAATAAAATGCTACATGTGTCAATGTTTTGTGCCATAATCAATCTGCCCTCGATTGCTTTAACCTGTAAAGTGGTTATGATTTTTATGATTATCATGATGTGGCGAAGTTAGGTTACAATTGCTATCACGAACATGTGTTTAAATTCTAGTACAACTTCCAGGTTAACGAAGTATATGGAGAAAAAGACGAGTTGGATTACGAAGACTTGAATAGACTTGTTTTCCTAGAACAGTGTATTAAGGAGTGCCTCAGAATGCACCCTCCTGCTGAACTATCTAGCAGAGTCAGCCCCAAACACGACGTTACAATTAATGGTCTTCTCATCCCTGGGAGTAAGTTTTCTTTAAATCACAACTAACAGCATCTTATAAGTATTTAAGTTGTTTTACTAAGATACTGTGTACCCAGGAGAAGTTGAGATGAATCAGGACTTTCAAATCATCAAAATATGTAACTTATTACCTACTTAGTGCACGTATTATATCTATAATAGAGTATAGATCTTGTGGTCGTATTATGTCTGTTATTTTTTTAGATCATTAAATCATTTCAGAGAGTATTATAATGCTACCAACAGAAGCAATACAGAGTCTTGAAGCACATTGGCCGGACCCACACATATTCGATCCAGACAGATTTGCACCTGGCAAGAAAATTGAGCCCTTCACTTACTTTCCATTCACTGCCGGTCCAAGACAGTGTATAGGGAAGCATTTTGCTATCATGGAAGCGAAGGTTGTGTTAGCCAAGTTTTACCGCACTTTCAACTACTATGACCCTTACCCGGAGAAAACGACACTGGAAAAAAAGACTGCTCTAACCGCTAAACCGAAGAACGGAGTCTTCATTGGAATCGAACACTAAATGTTTTTACCGTACCCTGGCCCTGATTAAACCATGTTAAATCAAGTTAGATTTTTATGAACAAGCTCTATTCTCCACTATTAATTGATTTTTGATGTTCTTAAAGTTTTCATTAGGAAACAATTTGGCCAGTATCTCAGAATTTTTTCGAATGCTGTATTAATTAAATATGAGCATGTAATGTTTTACAGTAAACTTTATTCATTCTCATTTGTTTTCAGATAATTTATTTTTATTTTGAATTTATTTTAACGATTATTGCTTTCTATGAAAAATTGCCTTATATAAACTAATTTTTGTATTTCTACACAGTTCTGTTCGAAATTTCAGGAGCTGCTTCTTGACTTCTTGCTGACATCGTCACGAACTTCAGACATCACCTTGTCCTTATGAAAAAATAAGCTTCAAAAAGAAAAAGCGATTTTTTCGAAAGTGCGAATAAGTAATGGTGAACTTATTGGTGGTGAATTGATTTGTTGCCTGTTAGCTCTAAAGATATTATCTTATATTAGAACTCTTCCCTTATCATGTATGTATGAACAGTTATTAATATTGAATATTAATTTTTAACTGACTAGGTTTTATCTAGGCATGGTATTGACTGTTTATGCCTTAATCGCAGCTTCGTTCATCTATGTCGTCTACGTACACATTTCTACTTATCTAAAGCGAAGATCATACTCTCATATCCCGTCATTTCCCATTCCTTTAACTTGGAGGTGGTACCTGGGCAATTTGTATTTGATACGGAAAAAGGGTTCAGAAATGGGCTTGGAAGGCTCTTCTTTTAGCATGTCCAAGGTAGCAGAAGCTCTTAGAAAGGAACTTGAAACTGAAAGTTATGTTATCTTCTTTCCTGGTATTGCCTTGGTATACACAGTTTCAATTCCTGTCGTCTCCAAAGTGTTCAGTGACCACAAAACCTTTTTGAAGGAGGATCCTCGTGCTGGAAATTTGGCCTATGTGAATGGAGAAAGGGTCTTTGGACATAATGGAATCCTCACAGAAGCTGGAACTGATGTATGGTACTATAAGCGTAAAATGATGGATCCAGCTTTTCAGAAAAAGTTCTTGAAATGCCTAATGGGGGATATGACGAATAGTGCGAATAAATTGTGCCAATATTTGGAGGGAAAGAAAAGCCAAAATGCCATTGACATTTTTGGTATCATGAACAGGGTTGCACTAGAAGTAGTTTGTACTTGTGGGTTTAGCTTGAAGGACGATTTCATCATGCGTGAAACATCCGATCTTAACAAAGCTACGGAAACTATTTTTGAAGCCTTGACATTGAATTTCCGTACAAGAGGCTTTTCGTTTAGGCTTCCTTGGACATTCCGAGAAGAAAAAAGACGGTTAAAAGATGCTTGTGCCTTGATTAGGGGGACAATGCGAGCTTTATTAGCTGAACGGATTAAGAAAAACTCAGAAGACCCAGAAAGCATTTCCAACGATGTTTTAGATCACATCATCAAAGGTAGGATCTTGTGTTTGAGAATCTTGATAAAAACGAATCCTTTCATCTGCTTTTATCATCAATGTAGCATAAATTGTTAGTACTTTTGGTAGCGAGGGATGGATGAGATCCATGCTGTGCATTGAATCAGATGAATTCAGCATAGGATTAGTTTTAAATTTAGTATAATATAATAATTAATTGTTAATACTATATATTACGACCACACCATTCAAGTTGTGTAGGATAAGATTAAATTATTATACAGCAAAAAAATATATTTTTTATTCAGCTACCTGGTCACATTACTTTAGCTACATTTCACATTCCTGTCTTCTTCAGGTAACAAGTTTTCCGACAAAATATCAATCGAGGACATTTGCGACGACTTCTTTGCCTTTTTGGTGGCTGGAATGGAGACTACTGCTATAACTATGTCGATCACGATTTGGCTTCTCCTAAAACATCCTGAAATTTCCCAGAAAGTTGTTGAAGAGGTGAAAGATTCGATAGCATGTCCAAAAGATTTGAATACTGGTGACCAGTACAAAATAAATAGCTTTTTAAAATATTGCTTCGTCAGTTTAGAATTAACTTTGAAAGAAATTTATATACACAACAAAAGTCATCAATGCCTACTAGTCGGCTACTGAAATTTGTGTCCTCTGTTTTATTGGATGATCAAACCAACAATATAGATTTTATACCGTACGATTAATAATGATCATTGTGTCCAAGGTACACTCTACAAGGAGTGGAGGGAGCGGTACGGAACTCTAATTTTATATTGAACCTATTTCCGATCCAGGGTTTCTGGCTTCTGTACTAATATGGACCCATTCAGAGATCTTTTATATCATCAAATAATAATTCCTGTACAACTTCCAGGTTAACGAAGTATATGGAGAAAAAGACGAGTTGGATTACGAAGACTTGAATAGACTTGTTTTCCTAGAACAGTGCATTAAGGAGTGCCTCAGAATGCACCCTCCTGCTCAACTATCTAGCAGAGTCAGCCCCAAACACGATGTTACAATTAATGGTCTTCTCATCCCTGGGAGTAAGTTTTCTTTAAATCACAACTAACAGCATCTTATAAGTATTTAAGTTGTTTTACAAAGATACTGTGTACCCAGGAGAAGTTGAGATGAATCAGGACTTTCAAATCATCAAAATATGTAACTTATTATCTACTTAGTGCACGTATTATATCTATAGATCGTGTGGTCGTATTATGTCTGTTATTTGTTTATCATTAAATCATTTCAGAGAGTATTATAATGCTACCAACAGAAGCAATACAGAGTCTTGAAGCACATTGGCCGGACCCACACATATTCGATCCAGACAGATTTGCACCTGGCAAGAAAATTGAGCCCTTCACTTACTTTCCATTCACTGCCGGTCCAAGACAGTGTATAGGGAAACATTTTGCTATCATGGAAGCGAAGGTTGTGTTAGCCAAGTTTTACCGCACTTTCAACTACTATGACCCTTACCCGGAGGAAAAGATACTAGAAAAGAAGAGTACACTTACCGCTAAACCAAAGAACGGGGTTTTCATTGGAATCGAACACTAAATGTTTTTACCGTGCCTGGTTAAACCGTGTAAAATCAAGTTAGATTTTTATTTTTAGTAACAATATCTCAGAAATGCTGTATTAATGGGTTATAAGTATGTAATTTTTAAACTTTATTCATTCTCATTCGTTTTATACAATTTATAACAAGTTATGTTATACTAACACTTAATAACTAATATTAAAAACTGTTTGTTTTTATTTCGAATATTTAAATCACTCCATTTAAATCAAACGTGACTTTTGCAAAGTTATTTTTATTTTGAATTTATCTTAAGGGGTCTTCATCAAAATTATCTCGAGATCAACTTTATAGTTGTTTCTGATAGAGGGGAGTGATATCTATCAGCTGCTTTTCTTCCCATGGAAAAACATTGTTCCTAGCAGAAATTATCCTTGGTCAAAGGTCAGCGCTTGTGTGTAATTGTATTGCGCGAGCGATTTTCAATTGCACGTTCTGAAGATCTATCTTCTCCTACATTTTTTGAGCAATCACCCTCAAACCTTCAGGATATGTTCTTAAGATCAGTTAAAAGAGAACTCTAGAGCTAGAATTTTAAGAGAGGCTTTTAAAGATTTTAAATTTGAAAATGTTGGACCTCTAAAAATCGACAAAGATCGATAGATTTTTAGACTCGATTTTCAGAACGTGCGATTGAAAATTCGGGCAATAAAATTACACAAAAGCGCTGACCTTTGACCGGCGATAATTTCGGCTAGGAACAATATTTTTCCATGGGACCAAAAGCAGCTGATAGATATTACTCCCCTCTATCAGAAATAACTATAAAGTCGATTTCGAGATAATTTTGATAAAGACCCCCCCTAATGATTAGGTATTGCTTTTGATTAGGTAGTGCGATTATTTTTTTCAGACAATGATTGCATTTTATAAAATCGTTTCTAGAATATCTCTGTTTATGTGTTTATGAGATAAAACCTTATCACCCCCCGCGCGTGAGGGCACGTTTTTGCTAGTAATTTGCGACATTACTTTATGGATATCGAATCTCGCGACTTCAACGAAGTGCTGGGGACAAGTTTTCAATAATTCATAAACTTTTCAGTTCCTATCGTTTTAAGCATCGTTAGGGCTTTCCCAGAAACTAACTCTCATCATCCTAGGATAATCATGTGTCGCACAGCACTTGTTTCAGTAGAGAGTGTACTCACCTTTACGAGAGAATGACGTGTACGTTTCGGTCACCTGCGGAAAAAGGAAGTGAGATATCGAAAATCTGAGATAAACCCGATCGATAAAATCCTTTCAGGTAGGTGCTAGTCAAGATTTCATCTCTTTAGACATTAAGATGGCTTCAAACACCTCACAAAAAGTTTTCAAAAGTAAATTTGACTCGCGACCTACAAATACCACCATAAAACTTGCCCTCATATATTTTTGAGGGCAAGTTTTTGAGCCCGCCGCGTGACTTTGTCTCAGCAACAGCAAGACATAGTTACAATCTCGCAACTATGAACAGACAAGGAAAATATTGTATTAATATCTGTCAAAGGAATTTAATGTATTTTAACAACTTGTTCTAATAATGCTAATAACTAATCGATGAACCTCATAAATGGTCGGCCCGGTGTGAGTGTATAGTATGGATTGTGCTCTGAAATGGGGCGCTGTTATTGGTTAATACAGCGGCCAATCAGGATCGAGCTGGTTTGTGGCTGCAGTCCAAATTTAGGATCATATCTGATTAGGTACCTAATTAGTGATTATGCACTTTAAAGTAAGATTAACTCGGTATTCACAATCCACATTAAATCGCTACATTTTGCAAATCAGCTGATATTTGTAACTTTAAAAAATAGTTGTAACTTATATATTTATACAGGTCCCCGGTTTAACAAGCATTCAGGATAGAAGAACCAGCAGCGGTTAATGACACTAAAACAGAGGTGGAGAACAGTAAGAACAGCAGAAAGAGTGGAGTGAGATAAATATCTTCTCTTTTTCTGCACTGGTTACTGATGCTCAACAGTTATTCAAGAAAATTCTGGCCTGGGTTATGTTTTAAAATTAGATATAGCCAGGCCCATGTCAGTTTTGTTTATGTTCTATTTATCATGAAAAATGATTGTGCTCGGAGTGATCTGGGCAAAAAATTAATTTGAACTCCACGGGGAATCGAACGTGCGACCGCCCTGCCCCTGCGAGGCACTCGACGCTCTAGCGGTCACGCCACACGGGATATACGCTCATTAAAATTGTGATGTCTATATAGTGCTTATTTGGCAGAAATTAGTACCGCATACAATCCTCAATTTTGAGTTTGTTATGATTGTAATTGGGAAGTGGGAACATTAAACAACTCTTCTGCATTTAATTGGAACTGTCTGTACAGTGTACACGATAAAATACATTGGGTAATTACAAAGATTGTGTACAGTGCATTCGGGGGCTTTGCTTTTGACTGATTTATTTTCCGGACAGTTCTTGGAAGTTCAATTAAAACCAGTGCAGTAGAAGAGTAAACTTGCATGAGAGTTAAAATGGTACTATTATAATTTGTGTTGTCAGGTAAGATTTCAGTTTTCACTTTGATACATTGGTATGTGATTTATATGCTGATTACAGATTACCGATAAAGATTGTTACATGTACAATTCAGAAAAATGTGTACATCATATGAGAGTCTAACTGTCTTCTCATTTCACCTCTTAACTGACAAGTGACATGTCAGAAACATGAGTCGTCTTATAATGATACAAACACTATATAATAATATGATTTTCACGTTAAGTAGTCAGCTTGACCTTGATTGGTTGCAGACAATTGTTAATGTGGATTGTGAATACCGAGTTAATCTTACTTTTAAGTGCATAATCACTAATTAGGTACCTAATCAGATATGATCCTAAATTTGGACTGCAGCCACAAACCAGCTCGATCCTGATTGGCCGCTGTATTAACCGATAACAGCGCCCCATTTCAGAGCACAATCCATACTATACACTCACACCGGGCCGACCATTTATGAGGTTCATCGATTAGTTATTAGCATTATTAGAACAAGTTGTTAAAATACATTAAATTCCTTTGACAGATATTAATACAATATTTTCCTTGTCTGTTCATAGTTGCGAGATTGTAACTATGTCTTGCTGTTGCTGAGACAAAGTCACGCGGCGCGCTCAAAAACTTGCCCTCAAAAATATATGAGGGCAAGTTTTATGGTGGTATTTGTAGGTCGCGAGTCAAATTTACTTTTGAAAACTTTTTGTGAGGTGTTTGAAGCCATCTTAATGTCTAAAGAGATGAAATCTTGACTAGCACCTACCTGAAAGGATTTTATCGATCGGGTTTATCTCAGATTTTCGATATCTCACTTCCTTTTTCCGCAGGTGACCGAAACGTACACGTCATTCTCTCGTAAAGGCGAGTACACTCTCTACTGAAACAAGTGCTGTGCGACACATGATTATCCTAGGATGATGAGAGTTAGTTTCTGGGAAAGCCCTAACGATGCTTAAAACGATAGGAACTGAAAAGTTTATGAATTATTGAAAACTTGTCCCCAGCACTTCGTTGAAGTCGCGAGATTCGATATCCATAAAGTAATGTCGCAAATTACTAGCAAAAACGTGCCCTCACGCGCGGGGGGTGCTTATGTAATGAATAAGTATTGTATTTTTTATCATCTGAACGAATTTGTTAATTCTGAAATAGTGTGAAATGTATTACTATCTTTAGTAGATACAATAGATTTATTAATGATGTCGTATTATTTGTTTGTTTGACCGATTCAATGTTTACTTTCACTCGAAATAATTACAGCCTGAGCCATTTTCGCAATCTTTTTTCGCTTTTTTAAATGGGTCGATCATATTATAGAGATATAATTTGATATCAAATTATACTTAGCCATTTTCACGGGTTAAAGGTACTATGTATGATCTTTGATTAAGGTCCCACATCCAGAAAGTTTCAAATTTCCTTGTGCAGTTACATACTTTGGTTACTTTGGTGTGCTTCATAGAATCCTCTATCGGGTCATCAGAGTTGTTGACCACCCGGACAGCGAGATCGCTGCCTTTATTCTACTCCAGTCCAGTAACGAATTTCCATTCCGACAGCTGTATCCTGCCACTAGAGGCTCATCCGGGAATGATTTCACAAACGTTGTAAGTATTTCTTTAAAGTGCAGGGGATTTTCGATAGTATGCATGTTTGGTGGGATTAAGTTCCACAATCGAGGTCCAATTACTGCAAATGAATTGTCATAGAGCGTTTGGTTGCGCTGACTGCTAGATTTATTCAGTGGGAATAACTGCCTTTTGGCCATGTCGGAGTGTTGCAGAGAACTGGATGTTGACATCATTTGAGCACTTGCCGTGCAGCACTTTCCATATGTGGATGATGGTATATCGTTCTCTCCTCCGTTGCAACGACATCAAATTTAAGGCCTTGAGTCTCTGCCAGTAGTTTAGATGCTGTAGGCCATCTATTCTCGTCGTGAACGTGCGCTGAACCCCTTCCAGTTGTTGGACGTCCGTATTCTTGGAAATATTTCATAAGGGGCAACAGTACTCGAGGTGGCTTCTGATGAGAGATTTGTAAAGGGTCAGCATGGTGACTTTGTTCCTCGTTTTAAACGCACTCAGAACCCAAGCAGCAACTTTACGAGCACGTTCGGCTATAAGGGTAACGTGGGGACTCCAGGATACTGTAAGTCAGCTGAAACCATCACCCCTAAATCTTTAACCACTTTAGGAGGGTATAACATGTTGCCGTCCGAGACTTGGTATACTTGGGTTAGGATGGCAAATGGGTGGTCTAGCAAGATGTTTTGAGGACAATGTTTGAGGACAAGCAGCTCAAATTTATCATCGTGAAGTGCCATGTTGTTGCATTTTGCCCACTTATCGACACAGTTGAGATCATGCTGTAATATCTGAGCATCTGTTAGACTATAGATGGTGCCGTACAATTCGGGTATCATAGACTGCAAAGAACCTGATGATTGATCATCAGGTTTCCAACTTAAAGATTTTGTTATGCCCTAACTCATAACTGCCAACATTTCCACTAACTGTAGTTATTTTGTGATCCAGTAGAATTTACAAAGTCTCTCAGAACTTCATTACTTTAGAATTATCTTTATATTAGAAAACTCTGCACCCATCGTCAGAAGGTGAGATGTTAAACTTCCTCTGAAAATAGGTTTTTCGAATTCCACGACTCAGAGTGAGAGCATCTTTATGTTACCCGGAATTTTATAGATAATGTTGGGAATCCGTGTCTATTGATACTAATTTGAATTAGATTTCATTTTCTGAGAAAGCTGTTCACTTAAAGACTTAAGTATTCACATGACTCCTATAGCATAAGTATTAAGTATGTGACTTGTGTAGGTGATGTTAAACTGTGGTCACGTGAATGCATTCCTGTAACGTCACTGGCAAACTTTTAAACTTTCATACAAACCATAGTAACCATTTGCATTGTTGATATCATTTATGATCTCCAACATGCCATTGGCGTCCAATGCAACAGTGGTTCAACAAGGTTCATTTCGTATTACGTAAGTGGAGCACTTATTTCTTTATTTGACGATTCTCCTAATATTGTAATAAGGCATTTTGTTACTAACCACCTTTATCTAGATGAAACATGCTGTTCACTATCTATATCGGAGTCACACTGTTGGTTTGTTTCCTGATTTATCTTCATGTGAAAACTTACCTTGAAAGAAAACGTTTCTATCACATTCCTAGTATCCCCATCCCAATATCCTGGAAATGGTACTTCGGACACACTACTGCAATACAAAAAAAGAGGTTGGAGCTTGGAGGGAAGGGTTTTGATTTCGCAGTTCTGTTCGAAGCTCTCCGGAAAGAACTTGGGGTTGACACGTATGTTTTGTATATTTTTGGGGGAAGTATAATTTACACACTTCGCGTTCCAGTAATTGCTAAGGTGCTTAGTGATCATAGAACCTTTATGAAAAGAAAGCCCGAGGAAACGGGATTGTGTTATGTTGCTGGCGTCAGAGTTTTTGGTCCAAACGGAATCCTAACTGATCCCGGAACCGAGAAATGGTATCATAAACGGAAAATGATGGATCCGGCATTCCAAAAGAAGTTCCTCCGAATTTTGATGGGTGATATAACGAAAAGTGCTGAGAAAATGTGTCAGTATTTGGAAGATAACAAGGACCAGAAGACCATAGATATTTACAGCCTCATGAATAGAGTTGCATTAGAAGTTGTTTGTTCCTGTGGATTTGACCTGAAAGATGATTTTATTATGGCCGAAGATTCAAAACTGAATAAAGCTGTCGCTGATGTGTTTGATATTTTGGCACTTTCAATTCTGGAATTCTTTACCTTTCCGTTGCCATGGAAGTTTAGGTCCGAGAAAAAGAGGTTGAAGGAGTCCAATGGTTTGTTAAGAGGTATGATGAAGGAACATCTTTCAGTCAGATTAGAGAAGATCACCAAAGACCCTGACGGCATCTCCAATGACATCTTAGACCATATTATCCGAGGTTTGATATAATATAATATGTTCACCTATCAACATTAAAACTGGTATGTATCTTTTTCTTGTTTGTGATATCAAGTTGATGATAAACATAATATAATAATATAGGTTAAAGCATGCCACGTTTTATTTGTTTTTCATGGAAAAACTATGAGTGGTTCCATTTAATTAAAAGGAGATTTTTATCCAGGGAACATGACTGGAGAGGAAGTTTCAATGGATGACATCATTGATGATTTCTTTGTGTTCATGGTAGCCGGTATGGAAACTACTGCTATAACAATGTCTACCCTCATCTGGTTGCTTCTTAAACACCCCGAGATATCTCAGAAAGTGGTTGCCGAGGTACTTATTAGTTTCACCTACCTGGTAATGAACATTTCAAACTATTCATGATTAACTATCGTCACATATTGTTGTAAATGTTGATTGTATCTGCAAGGCTGATTCAATAATTTGCTGGCTTTTCTATTCAGGTCACGGAAGTATACGGAAGCAAAGAAACTTTAGATTATGATGACTTGAATAAGTTGGTGTACCTTGAACAATGTATTAAAGAGTGTCTGAGAATGCACCCTCCAGCCCAGATGACTTCCCGGGTGTGTTCTACAAGTGATGAAACAGTGGCGGGTCTCCTTATTCCAAAAGGTGTTCACCCTTTCTACTTTATTTTCTTTATTAATCTCCAAACAACATAAGATACCACAATATGGCTAAGATGACGAATTAATTTATATTTGTCTTTTTTTCAGGAGCTATAGTGATGTTACCCACAGAAGCTGTTCAACATTTAGAGGAATTCTGGTCAGATCCTTACACGTTTGATCCGGACAGATTCGCTCCTGGCAAGAAAATAGAGCCCTTCACTTACTTTCCGTTTACGGCTGGACCCCGAATATGTATTGGTAAACATTTCGCCATTATGGAGGCAAAAGTTGTTCTGGCTAAGTTGTACCACACTTTTCAGTTTTATGATCCATATCCTGAGGAAATGAAACTTGAGAAGATCACTACCTTGACTGCTAAACCAAGAAATGGGGTTTTTGTTGGGATAGCTAACTAGATCTCATGGGGAGTGCATTGTTTTTCCCCTACGACTGAGTTTAAGCTAATTTTATGGTATTTAGTTAAAACTTAAACTTAGGTACATTCATTGCACCATACATGATAGGAAAATATATAATGATTATTTTTACAATATCTGTCTATTTTAGCGTTTAGTTTTATCATATTTTTATTCAGAAAGTTATGTTTCATTCTTTTATTGACGTTTATCAGATAAATTTCAGACTTTTATCTAAATTATCTCCGTATTCGTATCTTCTTTAAAGTAAGAAAGAACAGTTTTAGTTGTTTAAATTTTATACGAACTTTAGAGTGTATTAATTGTTTTTTAAAAGTTAGAATTATTGTCATAGTATTTCAAATAAAATATGAAATAACCAGCAAAATAAGTTGTATAACCTTATAACGATATCATGTATAGATCAATTACTCAATTACAATCATCAGATTAGTGAGCTGGGTTATCTTCTCAAAATTGCTCATGAAACCTTATTACGCAATTAATTACATTATATAATATAATCTATCTATATTATATTTTAAACTTGACGAAATTTCCCCGGCAACGGGGACATAGAAGAAAAAACACCGAAAATCGACCTCAAAATGACCCTCTGGTGATGCCAAACCCAGCTCGCAAATGGAGTTGAAACCTCGCCATTTTTAGCAGGGTTGTAGAAAAAGGATAGGAATAGGCTATAGCATTCTTAGAATTTTGATTTAGGCTTTAGATTTTTTATAATTAACGTCGGAAGTGAGGTTAAATAATCGTTAGAATAATGGCGTTATTTAAGCAAAGGTTTACTGCGCTGTTGCGTAGCAACGATAAAAATGCACGTGCGCGAGCAACGTGCATTTGTTATGCTGTATGCTACGTCATAATTTCAAAACTAGCTCACATTTACGCTCACGCTATGACTTCTTATAACTTTGTTTGTGATTGCAATATTTTGATGCAGTAAAAAGTATCGATACTTTTTTTTTCGATACTAAATTCGCTAGAGCTACACACAATGCTGACATTACGCCGCGCACACACAATCAACAAAAATATTGATTGGTGGAAGGAAGATGTATCAGACCGACGATTCTGTAGTAGTCCACTCAAATACTATTGGTAGACTCTACTCGATGTCACCAAAAATTGGTGATCTTTACTACCTCAGACTGTTGTTGGTTCATCAGCCAGGCCCAACGTGTTGAGTCATTTGATAGATTATGTCATTTTACCAATTTCATTCAGCACAAATTTCCTTTTTTATTTATCACAATTCTTTCATACGTAAAAACTTCAATTTGAACAGATCTATCAAATGAGACGGTGAGGGACCTGACATTTACCGAAATGATTCAAATGTGTAATTCATATATTTTCAGTGAAGCAGGGTTCGGGAACTAAAGCATATTTGTTGGATTGTTTGACCATTGACTTATAGCGATGACCGATAAATTCGAACGATAAATTCGCTCCCTTATAGTGTCCTTTAATAAAATTTTCGACTACAGCGGATTTCAACGCGCGGTGTTATGCTGTATGCTACGTCAGAATTTCACAACTAGCTCACATTTACCCTCATGACGCTATATACCTATATATATTTATAACTTTGGTTGTGATTGAAATTTTTTGATGCGGTAAAAAGTATCGTTTTGGGGCTATATGATGAAGAGAAATTAAAACATAACTGATGCTTAAAATTTCCTCGAACAAAGCTTTCGACTAGCGGCGGGTTTCTAGTATTCTATATTTTAAAAACAAAAATAAAATATACGCACATTTGAGAAGTTGTGATCAGCTAATCGCTCAAGAGAGGAGAGAACACTTTATGTTATTTAATAATAGTTTGGGGTATTGAATTACACTGTTATCAGCTTCGTGAGCCATTTAATTAAATTGTACTCTTCTTTCCAGTGTGTGCAATTCTTAAGTATTTCATTTGAACTGTAGTTTTGATGTATTTTAGTTTTAAAGAAAGCGATAAACGTAATTTTAACTTTCAATACTTTTTATTAGCACGTCATATCAGTTACGCGATGTTTGTATATTTGAACTTTGAAGATATTTCTAATGTTCAGTATTTTTGTCTGTGACCCAATTTGATAAATATTGTGACCCAGTTTTGATGATTACTAGCCTCATTATGCATTGCATCGAACATAGTTGTTTTTATTGTGATTTTGTGAATAACATTTTTAGGCCTGCTCCGTCCTATCCTAAATGTTATAATTTACCAAATATTCCGAAGTGAAAAATATTAAAACCAGCTTGAATGTAGACTTGTTCACGAATAAACATTCAGCCTGGAGATAATTTCGGGACAGACTCAGAAAAGTTTTGATATGCGATAATTTTACAGGTGAAACTATGGTGGAAAAAGAAGCTGAGGAGTGTGAAACTCGGACTGAAAACACTGAAAATGTAAAGACGGGAGTGAGCATAACATCTATAATAGTAATGATCGTGACAGTGATTATCTGCTGCAGCAATGTTCTGCTCCTGGAGAAGATCGTAAAGGAAGCTCCAAACTGCACAGCTTTCGTAACATTCTCCGCGTACGTGACCATTGTACTGCAGACTATCGTTCTCCAACCCGGACTGCTAACCAACTACACCATCCCCCTCCACAACTACCTTATCATCACCTTCCTCTTCTACACCACCAACCTCTCCAACAACATGGCTCTCAGCTACGCTGTGGATATGCCCACCCTCTTGATCTTCCGGTCTGGTTCTCTACTCGCTAACATGGTGGTTTCTATCATTGCTTTCAGGAGATCTTATTCCTTGAGCAAGTACATTTCTGTGGTGATGGTAACTGCAGGTATCATAGTTGCAACTCTGGCAAGTGCTGATTTGAAGAAGAACTCAGCTGATGACGCTACGTTCAGTGTTTGGATGACAGGGATAACCATGCTGACCTATGCTCTCTTTGGTAGTGCTGTTATGGGTGTTTTTCAGGAAAAGTTGTTCGCTAAATTTGGTAAGAAATCAGACGAGGTGCTGTTTTTCTCCCATATCCTAGGGTTACCCGCTTTTATCTTCAACTACAGCGATCTAGCTCAGACCATTGTCGATTTCAATAACTCTGACCCAGTCTCGATCCTTGGAGTCAGCTTTCCGTTTCTTTGGTGTTGTATTGCTGTCAATGTTGTCCTCCAAAGTGTGGGTATAAAAGGTATCTTCTACTTGCTGAGTGAGTGGAGTTCTCTTTCGGTTACCATGGTCACGACCCTCCGCAAGTTTATTTCCTTACTCCTTTCAATATTTCTTTTCCAGAATCCATTTACTTTGGTTCACTGGATTGGAACTACTCTGGTTTTTTCTGGATCCGCTTTGTTCTCCGGAATTATTCCTCTGCCAGGAGGTAAAGAGAAGAAACAGTAGAAGAGTCGAGAATATTCAAAAGATATTATAAAGTAATGACGTGGCGTTTATCTGGGACTTAATATTATATATTATTTTTCACTTTTTGAATCAATCTATATGTTTTAATTCTTAGTCCTTCTAATTAAATTTAAATATGTTACTATACCGAAAATCATTCAGAGTTTTCTATCTTATTTAACTTTTATATTTCTTAATTGCTTAAGAGAAGCAAACTTTCTTGTATGCATAAATGATTTATTGTATGTCTTAGTCCATAATTTCAATTTCATTTGTTAATATTTTGAACCTTTTAATGCTCATTTCTTAAAATTTTTTCGTGTTTAGTTTAATGTTCCGTTGAGCCAAAATAAAGGGTATTTGGGAGTTATCTTGATGTCAAAAATATTAGGGTGTTTATTAATTGAAAATGCATTCAGTCTTAATTCAATTTTCTATTGTTTAAAATATGGTTTCAATTCTTGTTATAAAACCCAGAAACTTGTTAAATATTGCTTTGGTTTGGTAAGGCCGAGTTTAGTAGTGATTAGAAGGAAGCATCACGGCTCTCGACAAACAAAGTAAAACAAGACAAATAACTAGTAAAACTATGAAAATAATCGACGTTTCGTCCTTTACCGCGCTTCACTAATCAAGAACTCTTACTAATCTCTACTTTCTCAGTGTATGATATGGATGTTGTAGTGGATATTATCGCAATCTCATCCAGCTGGTTCATCACCAATCACTTCTTAGCGGACTACGTCACCGACTTCTCATCCCATCTTATCTTCTCTGCGGCTATTTGGGTTTTCTTATCAATAAGAGGGCTACAGAAACATGAACTGAATGTCAGATATTTGTACCATACAGGTGTGTGTTTAACATTTGATACTCACGAGTCATCATCGTTATCGTAATAGCATATTCTTATTTTAAAAATCTGTGTTTTTTCTTTCGCTTTTGTTTCTAAACAAAATTAACTCTAAATATTGTCCAGTGTGCAGCATAGCAGCCTGGAGCGTGGTTTTTGTGATATTTGGAGCTCCGTATGCTAAAATGGACAACTTAATGTCAGTATCTCTACTTGCCAGTGTCTACACATCACCCTACACTTCCTCTATTAACTTTAAAAAGAAGGTTTGTCATATGAAAATGATTCTTCTATTCTTTTTGCCATCGTTTTACAAAATCCAATTTTATTCATTTACACTTGATTAATCTGCACGTGCAAGTATCCACTAATGTGCACGTGCAAGTATCCACTAATGTGCACGTGCAAGTATCTCCTATTACACCCTGCTGTTAACATTCTCTCTTTACCAGGAGAGTTCCTCCAACCCATCACTCTGCATTGTGTTACTGTTTGGTTGGTTGGGAGCTGTACCCATGTTCCTAGACTGGAACCAAGCCTGGCACACGTGGCCCAATCCGGTGATATGGGGACTCACTATGGGCCACATTATTGGGGGAATTGTTAATTGCTTTTGCGAATTTGATTAGATGCAGATCAAATGTTAATGTGATCTACATATTTATATTTAATTTAAATGAATAATATTCTCTCCCATTCGTGTGTATTTTCTGTAAAATAAGATTAATTAAGATTCAAAAATGCTGGTCAAATCCACGATGTTATGAATTTCAGTTCATCCTGAAACAAATTTGAATTAGTTCCACTACAGTCCCTCTTGTTTTACAACACAAATGATCCTATTGTCTAACACAAACAATGCTCAACTAACATAATCACTAGTCCAATTTACCCCAATTCCTGAAAACCTACTAACTTATCTTGATCAGAAATGAATCCTATCCTGGATGATGGTAGATGGACAAACTGTGTCTGTGAAATATCTTGTCTACGAGAACTACACTCTTTACAGTAAATATGGTGTACCAACCAAGAGTCTTGGTAAACATTCTAGACGAGTAAACAGAATAGGATAGAAAGTTTCGTAAATATATCCTGGAGTAGTTGAAGCACCAGATCAAATATTGGAATACACTCATGAACAGTATTCTGCTTTTCTTCCAACACTTATGGTGTATCAATCAAGAGGATTTGTTATTACCAGACTATTATTCTCCTTAATGTGTACAATCTATATTGAGAAAAAGAGAAGACAGTTTCTCTTCCCAGAAGAAAATAGAAACTTCTGGAACATTCTGGAGTAGTTGAAGCACCAGATCAAATATTGGAGTACACTCATGAACAGTATTCTGCTTTTCTTCCAACACTTATGGTGTATCAATCAAGAGGATTTGTTATAACCAGACTATTATTCTCCTTAATGTATACAATATATATTGAGAAAAAGAGAAGACGGTTTCTCTTCCCAGAAGAAAATAGAAACTTCTGGAACATACTGGAGTGGTTGAAGCACCAGATCAAATATTGGAGTACACTCATGAACAGTATTTTGCTTTTCTACAAGCACCAATTTGACATCAGTTTTACCTGCTATTACTGTTAAATATACTGGAGTGGTTGAAGCACCAGATCAAATATTGGAATACACTCATGAACAATATTCTGCTTTTCTTCCAACACTTATGGTGTATCAATCAAGAGGATTTGTTATTACCAGACTATTATTCTCCTTAATGTGTACAATCTATATTGAGAAAAAGAGAAGACAGTTTCTCTTCCCAGAAGAAAATAGAAACTTCTGGAACATTCTGGAGTAGTTGAAGCACCAGATCAAATATTGGAGTACACTCAAGAACAGAATTCTGCTTTTCTTCCAACACTTATGGTGTATCAATCAAGAGGATTTGTTATTACCAGACTATTATTCTCCTTAATGTATACAATATATATTGAGAAAAAGAGAAGACGGTTTCTCTTCCCAGAAGAAAATAGAAACTTCTGGAACATACTGGAGTAGTTGAAGCACCAGATCAAATATTGGAGTACACTCATGAACAGTATTCTGCTTTTCTACAAGCACCAATTTGACATCAGTTTTACCTGCTATTACTGTTAAATATACTGGAGTGGTTGAAGCACCAGATCAAATATTGGAATACACTCATGAACAGTATTCTGCTTTTCTTCCAACACTTATGGTGTATCAATCAAGAGGATTTGTTATTACCAGACTATTATTATTCTTAATGTGTACAATATATATTGAGAAAAAGAGAAGACGGTTTCTCTTCCCAGAAGAAAATAGAAACTTCTGGAACATTCTGGAGTGGTTGAAGCACCAGATCAAATATTGGAGTACACTCATAAACAGTACTCTGCTTTTCTACAAGCACCAATTTGGCATCAGTTTTTCAGCTATTAACTGTTAAATATCCTGGAATGGTTGAAGCACCAGATCAATTATTGAAGTACACTCATGAACAGTACTCTGCTTTTCTACAAGCACTTATGGTGTATCAATCAAGAGGATTTTGTATACGGGTACTTTTTACAGAATACACTACCACGTCACTACCACGTCACTATCACGTCACTACCACGTCACTATTACGTCACTACCACGTCACTACCACGTCACTATCACGTCACTATCACGTCACTAGTACTAAACATATACGTCGGAGTGCTGGTTACACGACTGAGAATTCCAGTCTAAAGTATGTTCGCAAGATGTAGAATAGCCAGAAGTTACTGGCTTGTCTGGCACCTTGTCAACATGAACGTCAACTTCAGGTTAAAGCTACTAATGACTGCTAATTATTTTGTGAGATTTTATGTAGAGTATTATACATGTTGTTATGAATGGAATTTTGATTTGACACAAGTTAAATATACATCAAAATAGTATCTTATTAATATGTCAGTGTAAAATGTTCGGATTATTTTAATTATAGAACCCTTACCTCGCAGCCAATCTGCTGCACCGTCCTCTGATTCCTGAAACCTCTCTATTTTACAATCAAAACTCAACTTCCCATTAAATTGATGTTAAGTCGATCAAAGCTATAGCTTTTACATTATTGGAGGGGGGGGGGGGGGCATCAACCTCATAAATACCTAATATTTCCTCCGATTTCAAAAGAGGTATAGCTATTTATTTATATTTATGAGGTTGACGCCCCTCATCATTAGCTGAACATTCGTCTCTATTCCTAACCCACTGATTTTCCCAGGATGCTGTACTTAATAGGACTAGGGTTAGGCGACGTTACAGACATTACAGTCAAAGGATTGGAAACTGTCAGAAAATGCGACAAAGTATTTCTCGAAGCTTACACATCCTTGCTCCTTAATTCAGAGTTGGACACTTTAGAGAAGTATTACGATAAAGAGATTACGATCGCCGACAGAGAAATGGTCGAATCAGAATCAGAACTCATTTTAGATCCTGCTTTGACTCAAGACGTCGCATTTTTAGTTGTTGGTGATCCGCTTGGAGCAACCACACATACTGACATAATATTGCGAGCAATAGAGAAGGGTATCAGTTACAGAGTTATACACAATGCTAGTATCATGAACGCTGTAGCCAGCACGGGGTTACAGCTCTACAATTTCGGGGACACTGTCAGCATTTGCTTTTGGAAGGAGAATTGGAAGCCTACCAGCTTTGTTGATAAGATTATAAAGAATTTGCGAAATGGACTCCATGTTTTGTGCTTATTGGATATCAGGGTAAGTCTATATCTGATCTTCTATTGCCTTACACAGAATGTGCCGTGTTTGTGTCACTGTGCCAAAGTCAGGGACACGTATCGTCATATATATCACGTGTCTTGGTTTCGTAGCGCGCGGAACGAATTTTAATCTGTTCAGCATACTGTGCACGAGCGTTCGTTTAACTCGCTTTGTCAGAAATTAGCAGGGACTAAAGCTGTAATTTGATTTTGCTTTATTTCCTTGGCTCTGAAATTCTGATCACATACAAACATTGAATATTATGGTCTTTACTCTGTATAATAATAATAATTCCAGGTCAAGGAAATCGACTGGAGCAAAATGGTGCGGGGCAATAAAGTTTACGAACCTCCTTCATACATGTCGGTTAACACTGCAATCGAACAAATCTTGGAGATAATCAAAGATGGGGATAATTGTGACAAGGAGTTTCTCAGTGAAGATACGTTATGTGTCGGCATTGCACGATTGGGCACGGAGGGGCAAGTTATAAAATCAGGTGAGAGGGTAGGGGGTCCAGTCTGGATTTTTTGTGGAACGTTTTTACGACATAAAACCTGTGTCCTTTTTGGCCCAATTATGCAAAATGCCCTCAACATGCGCAAAACTCAGATTTCCGCTTGTAGCTCGTGATTGAATTTTAATCCAGATCGGACAAAAAATCGCTGAGTTGTGAGCCAAAAATCATGTGCCCACATTTGGGCATACGCACCAAATTTGATAGATTTCAGCATGGAAAGTATGGTTTTAAAGCTGTAATGGTTACAATAATCAGAATTCTAAATTGACAGCAACATGCATACTCAATTCACCACCGAACAAAATCACAACTATCTAGCTGCGTTAAGTACACAAATTTTGCTTCCACGTTTCATGTTTCCAATGTCAGCGTTTAGTTTAATTTAACCCTGACAGCTGACAGGTTTCTAGTATAATATTAACACTTCTACTTTTCTCAGGAACTTTGAAGAGAATGGCTACAGAAGATTTTGGGAAGCCACTTCACAGTTTATGTATTGTCGGAAAGCTCCACGCGCTAGAAGCTGACATGCTTAGACATTTCGCTGTTGACAAGAATGACATCCCGGTTATATAGTTCGTACTGGATATTAAGAGAGATATTTGGCTTTTTTGAGTTTTTATAATTTATTTATCTAATTTTAACAACCTCACCGTTTTTCATTTTTACCAATTGCTGCAACTGGACATTCTCTCTAACTAGTCAATGCTCAAGATATACTCATACTTAAAACCGTTTCACTTGATTATTAACACCTGACATAGCCTAATGTGACGAACCTTATCACGATATGGAGAGCCTCAAGGGATGAGGACCACTTAGATGGAGTCGCGTAAAGAAAGTTTACTGAAATTCCTCGAAAGTATTGAAGAAAAAGAAGTTATAATAAGAGAGAAAAGGGCGGAAAGTATGAATTCCCCTCCAGAGAAGGACATTCCCCCCATCAACCCCCAGGTTCGAAATAGGGACACAAATGGTCAGCTGTTATTGAGGATACTCTTTTGAAATTTTATCATGCTATCAATTTGTTGTAATGACAGAAACACAGACTTGGCTCTTAAAAATCTACGTAAAAATACATAATAACAAAAATTACATGCATGTACATGTTACGTAATTATGTATTATTACTTATTATTCTGAATATAATGACTATTTTCAGATTATGAGAGAAATGACTGTCAGACTAGAGAGAACTTCAAAAGATTTGGCTGGGATGGTTTCCTGGCTGGAACGAGAGATGTGTGAAATGAGCTCACACACTGCTAGATTTGTCGACTTTCACGCTAAAGCTGTTGATGAAGTCTCGGATAATACCGACAAGTAAATTAACGAATAAAATTAAAAGTCTCTTATTTAATTTCAATCCCGATCCCACGATTTGTTTTCCAATAACATCAGAATTTTATCATCGATTGTGGATTGATAGACCCTCAATTATCTACTAGGTCGGTAAAAGCAATGTATTCTCTGCTATCCAAAGCCAGTTCGATGGAGAAGGACATGACTAAAGTTGAGATGATGTCTTCACACTTGAAATCGATAAACAAATATCTGGAGAGACTTGACTCGACACTTGCAACTATCAAACCTAACCCTGAAATCTCCTAACAGATCGGTTTATTTTCTTACACTGTTAATTTCGCATATTTGGGTTGGCTACGCAGCTCTAGATTTCTTGATTAGAGCCGCGCATTGCGCATCCGATCCTAACCTAGAACGGAAATGAGAATGCACTTCTGCATTTTGTGAGATGCTGTTTTGATTTTGTTGTATTGCCATTTCTAGTTATTTTTTCTTAGAGAGGTGATAAGTTCCCTTTGTATCAAAGTTCTCCTGGCTTAAATTATTGCTTGTACGTATGTTCCTTAGTTTTGGGTCGTAAGTTCTGATTTTGATATCATTTGACGTCAAATTTTGTACATGACCCGAATTTCATTAAAAATTGAATCCCTTTTAGTGTTTAGGCTGGTATATAGATCTGGTATATAGATCTGGTATATAGATCTTTCCCTATTGTAGAACTGTTAAAATTATGTTTTGAGTATTTAAGGGTAATCTTCTACTCTTTAAAGGAAGTGGTATAAAGTCTGAATTCATAAATAGAGAAGAAGTGGACATATGTTTTATTGATTATTTAATGTGCATTTCAAATTGCATCTGTTGTTACTGAGTTTCATATAGTGTATAGCGGTTTAGAATAAACTTTATAATACAGGTCTTGAAATACGATATTCGTCTCTGATAGTGATGATGTAGTTATATACATTTCATTCAACTCACAAAATACTAAATTCACATTGAATTTATTCTGGGCGAATAAGGTGCCAACTTATACATAAAGATAATTGTTTTCAGGTTAAATGTTGAGAAAGGCATTACAACGATCTCTTCCTTCCCTAGGGAGGAGCATTTCAACCTACCAGTTTCTAAAAATAGAAACCCCGTCACCCAAAGTTTACCATGTCCAACTCAACCGACCAGAGAAAAGGAATGCCATGTCTCTGGAGATGTGGTATGAGATAGGGGAAGCGTTCGACGAATTATCAGATACCTCAGATTGCAGAGCGATCATCTTGTCGGGTAACGGTAAAATGTTCACGGCCGGGATTGACATATCAGCATTTATCAGTGTTGTGCCCCAGCAGTCTGACTCGGCTCACAAGTCTCTTAGTTTGCTGAAGACCGTGAAGAAACTACAGGATAGCTTCACCGCAGTAGAGAAGTGCCGGAAACCAGTGATAGCTGCTGTCCACGGAGCCTGCATAGGGGGAGGCATTGACCTGATCTGCGGGGCTGATATCAGGCTGATGTCCAGTGAGTGTTACATGCAAGTGAAGGAGGTGGACATTGGTATTGTAGCTGATGTGGGGACTATACAGCGCCTCCCCAAGATAGTTGGTAACCAGAGTCTAGTAAACGAGTACTGTTTAACAGCTCGGAAGATCTCCTCAGATGAAGCAGCCCGAGTAGGGATAGTGTCCCGGGTCCTGGTGGATAAGGAGAGTATGATAGAGGAGGCGGTGGCACTAGCTGCTCAGATTGCTAGCAAGAGTCCGGTGGCAGTGCAAGGGACGAAGAGTAATCTGGTGTATAGTAGAGACCATACTGTTCAGGAGGGACTGGATAGGGTGGCGCTCTGGAACTCTGCTATGTTGTTGGGAGGTGATCCTATCGTTGCTATGTCTGGGGCTGGCGAGTTTGAAGACCCTTAGATTGCTCTTTAATTGAGCAACTTTATTTAATCTCAGAGAATTGATGTGATTTGAATTTGGCTATGAGGCTTTTGAGTTGTGGCCCTCATAATAATTGTTAATTCTAGGAACAATTGGAACTAATGTACTGACTCAGAGTTGGTATTTTGATTATTTGTAAATTTATTGTGTTGATCATTTGATTCGTAGATACTTTGTTTTATTTCATCGCAATCCCTTGCAGAAAATTTACATATTAATTTATACTATTAATTTCGCTATGATATCTATAAAACTACATCTTGCCGATGCTAGCTTTAAACCAGCTCAGTTTTCAGAATGGTCAAGAAGAAAGGAGATTTAGCATTTACAGTAATCCATCTTCCTGCCCTCTATCCAACTCTCGATATCATCTCGCAGATATCTATATCCCCTGTGGCGGATGGATTTGATGGTACTGTCTGTCTGAACATTGCTCCCCAGTTTCCATCTTCAACTTTTAAACAGGTCATTATAGCACTGGATTGCTCAGATTAGAGTAATATTTTGTTCAATTATATCGGCATGAGTATTTTGGCCAGATTGTTCACCTTATTTTTACATAACCATGTTCCTGACCGAATATACTAAGTATAAGAGATCAACCTATTTTATAGAAGACCTTGTTTATAAACAAGTTCGATCCTAACAGGACACATGTTTCTCAGTTTCAACACGATATTTTCATGCTTCTCCGTCAAAACACCTATTATATACATTTCCATAACTATCTCTTATTTCAGATAGATGCGTTCAAGCACTGTGCGGTAGAAAACAAGGCTTTATCACGAATCATCCCTGAAAACACACGAACAATCATCATTAACAATCTCAGTTTTTGGATTCTCTATTGTGGTAAGATTAAATCACTTCCCCTCTTTTCAAAATGAGTCGTTGCTTTGAAATTTGCGATATTTTGAAATATCTTGACCGAGTATCGCTAAGATACAACTTAGTGAACGTGACCACCATCTTACACTTATTTTACTTCAGACAACAGCCACATTTTTACACAGTTGTACCAGCCAATTACAGGAAGCCGAAGGATTAAATTATACATTAGGCTTGTAGCGCGATGCACTACTGGGCCGCGCCGCGCATCCAATAATGGGGGGGGGTGTCACGTCCGTCTATGTCCGCTTGTCTCATAGAATCCAAAAAGGACAGGACATAGGCGGACATAGGCGGACATAGGCGGACATAGACGGACATATGCGGACATAGACGGACATAGGCGGACATTGGCGGACATAGACGGACATTAGCGGACATTAATGGACACCTAAATTGCTAAATAAAATGTTCAATTTTTGCTGTTATAGGGGGATCATGTTTTTTGTCCGTTCGGTACCCTATATTTTCAAAACGGACAAAAATAGAGCGGACAAAAACGGACAAAAATGGACAAAAACGGACAAAAATGGAAATAACATTTAGATGCTTCCTCCTCCTACTCTTCCTCCTCCTCCTCATGGGTCTTCCTGATCTTGCTCAGTCCTCTTCCTCCTCCCCTCCTCAGCCCTCCTCCTACTCCTCCTCCTCGTCCTCAGTCCTCCTCATCAGTCCTCAACAGTCCTCCTCCCCAGTCCTCCTCCTCTTCATCCTCCTCCTCTTCCTCCTCAGTCCTCAGTCCTCCTCAGTCCTCCTCCTCATCCTTCTCCTCAGTCCTCCATCCTCCTCCTGAGTCCTCCTCCTGGGTCCTCTTCCTAGGTCATCCTCCTCCTCTTCATCCTCCTCCTCTTCCTCCTCAGTCCTCAGTCCTTCTCAGTCCTCCTCCTCATCCTTCTCCTCAGTCCTCCATCCTCCTCCTCAGTCCTCCCCCAGTCCCCCTCCTCCTCCTCCTATTCAGTCCTCCTCCTCCTCAGTCCTCCTCCTTCTCAGTCCTCTTCCTCCTCCTCCTGAGTCCTCCTCCTCCTCCTCCTCCTCTACCCTCTCAGTCATCCTCCTCAGTCCTCCTCCTCCTGGGTCCTCCTCCTCCTCTTCATCCTCGGTCCTCAGTCCTCCTCCTCATCCTTCTCATCAGTCCTCCTACTCCTCAGTCCTTTCCCAGTCCCCCTCCTTCTCCTCCTCCTATTCAGTCCTCCTCCTCCTCCTCAGTTCTCCTCAGTCCTCCTTCTCATTTCTCCTAAGTCCTCCTCCTGAGTCCTCTTCCTCCTGAGTCCTCCTCCTGAGTCCTCCTCCTCCTCCCTCTCAGTCATCCTCCTCAGTCATCCTCCTCAGCCATCCTCCTCAGCCATCCTCCTCAGTACTCCTCAGTCCTCCTCCTTCTCAGTCATCGTCAGTCCTCCTCCTCAGTCCTCCTCAGTCCTCCTCCTCCTCCTCCTGGGTCCTCCTCCTCCTCCTCCTCCTGGGTCCTCCTCCTGGGTCTTCCTGATCCTCCCCAGTCCTCTTCCTCCTCCCCTCCTGAGTCCTCCTCCTACTCCTCCTCGTCCTCAGTTCTCCTCATCAGTCCTCAACAGTCCTCCTCCTCCCCAGTTCTCCTCCTCCTCCTGGGGCCTTTTCCTGGGTCCTCCTCCTGGGTCCTCCTCCTCCTGGGTCCTCCTTCTCCTCCTCAGTCCTTCTCCTCCTCCTCCTCAGTCCTCTTCCTTCTCTTCCTCCTCCTCCTCCCTCTCAGTCATCCTCCTCAGCCATCCTCCTCAGTCCTCCTCCTTCTCAGTCCTCCTGAGTCCTCCTCCTGAGTCCTCCTCCTCCTGAGTCATCCTCCTGAGTTCTCCTCCTCCTCCTCCTAGGTCCTCCTTCTGGGTCCTCCTCCTCCTCCTGGGTCTTCCTGATCCTCCTCCTCCCTCTCAGTCATCCTCCTCAGTCATCCTCCTCAGTCATCCTCCTCAGCCATCCTCCTCAGCCATCCTCCTCAGTACTCTTCAGTACTCTTCAGTCCTCCTCCTTCTCAGTCCTCCTCAGTCCTCCTCCTGAGTCCTCCTCCTCCTGAGTCATCCTCCTCAGTCCTCCTCCTCATCCTCCTGGATCCTCCTCCTGGGTCCTCCTCCTGGGTCTTCCTGATCCTCCTCCTCCCTCTCAGTCATCCTCCTCAGTCATCCTCCTCAGTCATCCTCCTCAGCCATCCTCCTCAGCCATCCTCCTCAGCGATCCTCATCAGTACTCTTCAGTACTCTTCAGTCCTCCTCCTTCTCAGTCCTCCTCAGTCCTCCTCCTGAGTCCTCCTCCTCCTGAGTCATCCTCCTCAGTCCTCCTCCTCATCCTCCTGGATCCTCCTCCTGGGTCCTCCTCCTGGGTCTTCCTGATCCTCCCCAGTTCTCTTCCTCCTCCCCCCCTCAGTCCTCCTCCTACTCCTCGTCCTCAGTCCTCCTCCTGAGTCCTCCTCCTCCTGAGTCATCCTCCTGAGTCCTCCTCCTCCTCCTCCTGGGTCTTCCTGATCCTCCCCAGTTCTCTTCCTCCTCCCCTCCTCAGTCCTCCTCCTACTCCTCGTCCTCAGTCCTCCTCATCAGTCTTCAATAGTCCTTCTCCTCCCCAGTCCTCCTCCTCCTCCTCCTCCTGGGTCCTCTTCCTAGGTCATCTTCCTCCTCTTCATCCTCCTCCTCTTCCTCCTCAGTCTTCAGTCCTTCTCAGTCCTCCTCCTCATCCTTCTCCTCAGTCCTCCATCCTCCTCCTCAGTCCTCCCCCAGTCCCCCTCCTCCTCCTATTCAGTCCTCCTCCTCCTCAGTCCTCCTCCTATTCAGCCCTCCTCCTCCTCAGTCCTCCTCCTTCTCAGTCCTCTTCCTCCTCCTCCTGAGTCCTCCTCCTCCTCCTCCTCCTCTTCCCTCTCAGTCATCCTCCCCAGTCATCCTCCTCAGCCATCCTCCTCAGCCATCCTCCTCAGTACTCCTCAGTCCTCCTCCTTCTCAGTCATCGTCAGTCCTCCTCCTCAGTCCTCCTCCTCCTCCTCCTCCTCCTCCTGGGTCTTCCTGATCCTCCCCAGTCCTCTTCCTCCTCCCCTCCTCAGTCCTCCTCCTACTCCTCCTCCTCCTCCTCAGTTCTCCTCAACAGTCCTCCTCCTCCCCAGTCCTCCTCCTCCTCCTGGGGCCTTTTCCTGGGTCCTCCTCCTGGGTCCTCCTTCTCCTCCTCAGTCCTTCTCCTCCTCCTCCTCAGTCCTCTTCTTCCTCTTCCTCCTCCTCCTCCCTCTCAGTCATCCTCCTCAGCCATCCTCCTCAGTCCTCCTCCTTCTCAGTCCTCCTGAGTCCTCTTCCTGAGTCCTCCTCCTGAGTCATCCTCCTCAGTTCTTCTCCTCCTCCTCCTAGGTCCTCCTTCTGGGTCCTCCTCCTCCTCCTGGGTCTTCCTGATCCTCCTCCTCCCTCTCAGTCATCCTCCTCAGTCATCCTCCTCAGTCATCCTCCTCAGCCATCCTCCTCAGCCATCCTCCTCAGCCATCCTCCTCAGCCATCCTCCTCAGTACTCTTCAGTACTCTTCAGTCCTCCTCCTTCTCAGTCCTCCTCAGTCCTCCTCCTGAGTCCTCCTCCTCCTGAGTCATCCTCCTCAGTCCTCCTCCTCATCCTCCTGGATCCTCCTCCTGGGTCCTCCTCCTGGGTCTTCCTGATCCTCCCCAGTTCTCTTCCTCCTCCCCCCCTCAGTCCTCCTCCTACTCCTCGTCCTCAGTCCTCCTCCTGAGTCCTCCTCCTCCTGAGTCATCCTCCTGAGTCCTCCTCCTCCTCCTCCTGGGTCTTCCTGATTCTCCCCAGTTCTCTTCCTCCTCCCCTCCTCAGTCCTCCTCCTACTCCTCGTCCTCAGTCCTCCTCATCAGTCCTCAACAGTCCTTCTCCTCCCCAGTCCTCCTCCTCCTCCTCCTCCTGGGGCCTTTTCCTTGGTCCCTATATAATTTGATATAATAAGTTAAAGCTATTAATAGCTTTAGTGTGATTAATAAGTCGTTTGTTTTGTACAAGATTATAATACAAGTTGCGAAAAATTCTCAAAATGTTTGTCCGCTTATGTCCACCAATGTCCGCTAATGTCCACCAATGTCCGTCCGAGTCCGCCTATGTCCGTCCGGGTCCGCCTATGTCCGTTCGAGTCCGCCAATGTCCGTCCGAGTCCGCCAATGTCCGTCCGTGTCCGCCCATGTCCCAAAAAACACGTCCGTTGTCTCATAGAATCCAAAAAGGACAGGACATAGGCGGACATAGACGGACATGACACCCCCCCCAATAATCAATAATGCTTCTCGTAGATCGGCGAGATGCACCACTGGGCCACGCCGAGCTACGAAGGATTGACATCGTCAATCAAACATTGGGCCAGTGACGGTTAAGGTGGTGTGTACCATACTATCTTCGCCTGAGACTTGGCTGCAATGGGCAGCTCCTCATTTAACCCTCACACCCGATTTCTCGAGTATTCGGCTGAGTGGATCGGGGGCTACATAGATCACTCGGAACCATTAGCTGAGCATCAATGACGCTCACCCCATGGCTGGTAACTCAGCTGGGAATCGAACCTGGTAGCTCACGATTAACAAGCAGGAAGATTTACCAACTGAGACACTCAGCCATTAAAAGGGTTTCCACTAATTTCACTTGTGATTCCAGGGCTGCAGCGAGTGTACAAGGAGCTAATACAACTCAGTAGAGAGCACAAAGTCATAACCACCATCTCTCACGACACTCTGGATCAGGAAACGGAGGATACTATCTTACTCTTACCCGATCTTATCTTATCACTTTCTCCTGATCCTGAAGATCCTCTTTCCGGAACACTCATGGTAAGTCTTTGACCTGGGAGCTCTGGGTTTGAAGTAAAGGTCTTCTAGCGTCTTATCTCTAATCATGCCCTAATGAAGTGCGTGATTTAATTAAGCAACAAATCGATTTCTGCAGAAATTAAGTTATTTTCTCGATAATTAGCGCTGCCCTCAAAATTGGCAATGTTTTTCACTCATCCTTATACTTCCTATGTCGATTTTCAATAAATGTTTATTTTTGTTTCGATAGAAACAATCGCGATTAGTCATAGTTGAGACAAGTCGATGCTAAAATACTCTGTCACCCAGGAAGTGTTACGACAAAGTTCGGGAAGAACGGAGAAGAAAACGCAACGTTACAGTTTGTTGAAATCAGAATCTTCCTTCAAGTTGGATATCTCTAAAATCGAGGAAAAAACCGCTGCTGCCCCCGAATCTAACTCTCACAATGTTGGTTGATGATTCATGTTGTCTTCATGTTGTCTTCATGTTGTCTTCATGTTGTCTTCATGTTGTCTTCATGTTGTCTTCATGTTGTCTTCATGTTGTCTTCATGTTGTTTTTATGTTGTCTTCATGTTGTCTTCATGTTGTTTTCATGTTGTCTTCATGTTGTCTTCATGTTGTTTTCATGTTGTCTTCATGTTGTCTTCATGTTGTCTTCATGTTGTTTTCATGATGTCTTCATGTTGTCTTCATGTTGTCTTCATGTTGTTTTCATGTTGTTTTCATGTTGTCTTCATGTTGTCTTCATGTTGTCTTCATGTTGTCTTCATGTTGTCTTCATGTTGTATTGTGGATTTGTACTGTTGATATCGATGGTCACGTTTAAATGGTATTTGTTTGTAGCACAGTATTGTAGTAATGTTCGTATAATGTTTTCTTGACGATTACGCACCTGCCTAAAAACTAGTTTAATATAACGGGAACTCAAATGACTGACAACTCAGTCAGCATGACCAGATTCCCCGGTTTTTTATTAAGAGTGACATAACCAGTTTAAAAACCTGTAGTAAGACAGGATATTATGTATGACCTGTAGTAAGACAGGATATTATGTATGACCTGTGGGTAAACCAGGGAGTAGGGGGCATTTAGCACCAGTCTCTAGTCTCCGTCCAAATTATACTGCTAACCTCGCCAATTCAAAAGCAGTCATGATGTTAATATGGATCAAGTTCCACATTCAAATTGAAGACTTCGAGAAGATTAGTTGATATGCATTATGCATTATACAATATGCTTAAACTATAAAAAGTAGTTCCCCACAATAATACATCATAGATATTAGATGTGTATTGTGTGTGATCGATAAAACAGTTACACTACATTCTACTTAGTGCTAATAAACACTAACTGACTAACTCCCACGCAGATAACGTTTGAGTTAGGACTATCTGAGCGAGAGAAGAGTGCACGTGACGCTACAGAACTACCGTACACTCGCAATTCAACAGACAAAACAGAGGAGTCAGCTGGGCATATTCACTACGTTCCTGACGAGGTGGACGACTGGGACGACGAGGATCCGGACGACGATCTAGATATTTAGTGATCTGGACATTTAGTGGGCCGGGCTCTTGGTGGGCCAGACTTTTAATGGGCCGGACTATCTTATTGTATTTCAAGCGCAAACTTAAAGTTTCTGTGATAGTTTTCAACAGACACCAGGGACCACTTCTGAAGTTTTATTTTACTGAACAGTTTGAACTAAGGTGCTGCATAAATCATCAACATACGAATTTATCTCCTTCTTTTGGGAGACTCAGACAGCATTATAATATCCCTCTCGCCAGACACCTAATGATTTTTCCAATTCTCATTCGTCCTTAGCTATTCAAATTTGATTTTGTTCGAAAATGGCACATTTTTCTTAATATTCTTGATTCCACGAGAATACTTTCCACCGAAAATTAAAGTTATTTTATTAGTGAGGCTACCCCACCAATCACCATGGCATGGTGACCATGTACACCCACGATCACAATAACTTTGATGGGGCGCACGAAGCCTGCAGGACGATTATACTAAATACGGTCATTGTGGACAACAAAGGCTGAAAACCACATATTTTCGAGTCAGTGCTTCACTTGAACCCTGTGCTCTGCCGTAGCAATTCGTGGTTTTGTTGTAATCTAAAACTAGATTTTATTTGATTAAATTGTTTTGAAGGAACTGTTTTATTATTATTAGCCTTTTATTTCCTTCGTACCACATCATTACGAAGAACTAATTTAAATCGACGATCTACGTCGTGATTGGGCCGACAGTGCGATGTATTCGATCTAGCTTACAGTTGCTATTGTACAATACTTTACGTCTGACCGTCTGACGTTATTGATCTTTATCTATTTTCCATCACCACCGAGTTTTATTGAAGTTTGTCTCGCTTCAACATTAAATGTTGTGTTGAGAAATAAAAGCCCTAAAATTGAATAATCGTGGTCAAAAGATTGGGTTTTTGCAAACCATTTCACAGTTTAGGGATCTTGTTATTCAGGCAATGGTCACGCGCTCCATTAGACCACACCCTCAGTGATCAGACACTGAAAAGAGTAAAAAGTTACTTCCCACTCCTTCTTTGATACAGGTTGTATTTCCCTTTAATTCGCTCGCCGGCAAGCGTGTACAAACGTGATATGCAACGTGTAGCAACTCCTTCTCTCCCACCCCTTCTTCTCCCACTCCTTCTCCATCTCCCTCCCTCCCTCCCCTGCTTTCTTAATCTTATCCCTATTTTACTAACCATGCGTGTAGTGACCGTGTTTTAACCGTGTGCCAGCGTTACGGTTAAGGTTGAAGGTTTGTGTGTTGACTGTGTTATAAATTAATGGCCATTGTGCTAGTATATACCGTGCGTTGACAGTCAGTTAAACGTACGTTACAATTGTGACACTTGTGACATCACATGGATTATTGGATTGACAAATAACCTCATGATATAATATAATCATCACTTACTCCTATGTCCTAGTAATGTAGAAATTAACCATGTAATGTAACACTAACTGTAACGGATCAGCAAACAGCTTGACGTCGCTAAAAAAAGGTTGCAACCTTAAAATCATGATAAGTCGGATAGTGAGGACATGTATCACATTCTGGACTATATACCTGTCAATCTTTGGGCCTGCTGCTTACTCTTATGTTATTGATAGACCTTATCATTGGAATACTCCTGTGTGCGACTGCTCTGTTGAAAGGGCCCTGCAAAATGGTTTGTAATATGAAAAATGCAACAAAAATGTCAGCTTTAAATTTTGTGTGCACATTTTAAAGACTATAAAGAGTTAGTAAGGTGTTTCTGCCTCCTGAATCACTATTGTATTCCTTTTATAGAAATTCGGCTTGGCATACAATATCTGAAACGAAAATCCTGTAATTTCTATCAAGAGTTTTCAAAATGTTATCAATTTGGAACAGTAAAATTCGATAAAGGCAAACAAACGCAAATGTCCAAATATTCTCTTATTTCAGACGCGTGTAAAAGTCAGTGTGCCATCGTGGTACGAGTAAGAAGACAAAGTCGGAAGAAGCGGAAGAAACCAAAAACTACCGTACCTGTCACGACTGTCCTGACGACCTCTACTGGAACCACATCTGCAGGAACCACATCTGCAGGAACCACATATGCAGGAAGCGTAACAGCTGCCAGCTCCATCACCTCCACTGCCACCTATACTGCTGCTTCAAGCTCCAGTGCTGCAAGTGTATCATCTGCTGCTAGTGTCAGTGGTACCACTACAGTAGTGGCAACTGCAGGATCATCTGTCAGCGCGGTATCAGATACATCCACTATCGAGGTCTCCACTACTGGCGGCTCTACTACAACGCTAGCCCCGACAACGAAAGTGATCACAACAAAGCCGGTCACGACAACGAAAGTGATCACAACAAAGCCGGTCACGACAACGAAAGTGATCACAACGAAGCCGGTCCCGACGATGAAAGTGATCACAACAAAGCCGGTCCCGACGATGAAAGTGATCACAACAAAGCCGGTCACGACAGTGAAAGAGGTAACAATAAAGCCAGTCACGACAGTGAAAGTGGTCACGACAAATCCGGTTACGACAGTCAAACCGGTCACAAAAAAGCCAGTAACGACCGTTAAAGTGGTAACAACAAATCCAGTCACAATAAAGGAAGTAACAACCGTCCAAGTGGTCACATCAAAACCAGACATGACTGAAAAGACGACAATCGAACAAATGACTAGTGGAAGAAATACTTTGCAGATAACTGACACAACGGAGAAATCCAGTAAACCGATTGAATCCACAAATAAAAGCAGCGCGGGCTCTGGGTCAGGGCAGAACATGGTTGTGTCCACCACACCCGGAGTCCCGGCTAACCCATCTGAAACGACAATTACGACATCCTCCAGTTCATTAACTGGCACGTCGACACCAGAGAAGGACTCTACTTATACATCTACCAGTTCCAGTGCCCTAATGTCTAAAACCTCCGGCACCACCACCACCACCACCACGACAACAACTGTAACTACCACCACGGGGACTGGAAGTACTAAAGAGGAGGGGGACCCTCAGACCACTACTTCTTCTAATCCTAACTTCTCTACATCGTCTACTTATATAACAACCAGTCAACCGGTAAAATGCTTTTTTTTCTTTCTATAGACCAGTTCGTAGTTGGTTTTTGCTGGTACTATCTGCACCGTACTACACTGGTCATGATGCCAATAATGCATATTATGTAATGTGGATCACTAGACCATCGTGTCATTAGTAATGGACTGATCAGATTTCGCAACTTTACAAGCAGCTTCAGTCACTGAAGTTGCTTGCAAAATCCCGAAATTCGATTCAGTTGGACCAGCGTTTTGTAATGAACAACACATTCAACCCATAGAGTGTTCGATTTTTCATGATAAATAAACTTTGCTTACTTTACACACGATAATGATAACAGTGCTGTTAATTTCTGATTTCCCCAAATTTTTGAATTCGTGCAGGATGTCTTCTTTATTGTAAAAAGTTCATTTCTAAGGGTGGAGCCCCCGGAGATTTCTGAAAATGCGGTTATTTCATAGCATTTTCAGTGAAGTACGTATATATATACGTACTTCACTGAAAATGCTTCACTGAAAATGCTTCACTGAAAATGCTTCACTGAAAATGCTTCACTGAAAATGCTTTAGCCTTAGGAGCTTATATATAAGCTCCTAAATCTTCAGGATTTGCAGCACTTTTATGACTTTTTCTTTTTAATATGCGGCGCAGTTATAAAAGTTTTATTTTACTCAACTCATGTCATAGGAAGATTCGACTCTCAACAGAAAAACAGGTTCGCTAGCTGAGAACAGTTCAAATTCTATATAAAAAGAATCGCTCGTTCAAGATTCATCTTTTATAAACATAATTTTGTATTATAAAGTTATAAGAGGTATAAAAACCAATTCTCAGCAGCTCAGCTGTTCGCTCTAATCTACAGTACAATTTGGCTGCGTAACAGCGATAAGAGCTCTTCATAACAGGTCCCTCTGTCTGAATTGTGACTTCAATACCTGTTAGTGTTCTAGCTGATTCAAACCAAACAGTTTGAGATATAATCTTGCGCAAAAACATGTCATTTGGTAAGCAGGTAAGCTAAAATCTTACGCAAAGTTTGGCGCACCCCGATAATAATTATGACACCTTCTTAGTTCTTACATGACCGAAAAATGTTAAAATAATCAGGATAATTGATATAACCGGTTAAAATAAGATAACAAAACCTTACCTAGCAGTACTTGAAAAACTTAAATATATTATTTCAAAACCATGTCCTCTCCGTGGCTGTTAAGATCCTCTTCATGAGTAGATCCATATGGTGTTTGGCGATGTTCCCAACTTAAGGCCAAATTTTGTGAATACGATACAGAATTACAGCAGCATCTGACGAGAGTTAGGGTTAGGATTCTAAGGGTTGGGGTCAGAGTAGAGATTTTAGAATAGTCCCTCAGGGCCATCTAGATTCTAGAGTGCATGTTTCAGTACGTCACGTGATATGAGGAAATAAACTAGCTTGACATGATATCCAGACAGAAGGATCAATAATAAACTCCACTTGCATATCACTCACCAGTCCTACACCAACCAGCCTGACCTATTTTTGAAGTGCTCAGTAGATTTGGCAATAGAACGGGCATGATCTGAAGAGGCTCGAGAGTCGTGAGTTGTGTGTAGATTCTAGGCGATGCACTGCCCATATTGGCATTGTGTGCTATATATAATCTTATAATTGTTTGCAAGCTTTCAGTTTCAGACGAAGTGAGTAGAATTCTCTCTCCTCAAACTCCTTTAAATTTTTGTTCACGGCCGTAAGCCGTAAGGTTTTGGTGCGACAGAAGGTGTGTAAAGTTGGCAGGGATCCCTAGCTGAGAAACCTCACCGAACCTCCACGCGGTGTGGGGTGGGTGGCTCGAACGGGAGGTTCGTGTATGGGTGTTTCTAACCTATGCAAAGGATTAGGAAGGGACTAGCCATCTCTACAACAAAGGAAAGGCTCTAAGAGCCTCTAAAACGTTCACAGGCTCCCACGTCTCGTGTAACCCCAGGAACCGCAGCATAACCGCTCTTCCCACAGGCAAATAACATCTTCCGCAGGAAAGGTGTTGAGAAGACAATCGGGTAGGGTTTCAGGAAATTCAAAATACAGAAAATTTAGAAGCAACAAATTAAGAAAATTCTTTGCTCTGTTCCCTAATTTAAATTAAGTGTGTTCTTATTTTGTTGCATTAAGGTAAGTACACGCTAAGAGGAGAGAACGTTACATGATCAATGAATTGTTGATGAAATTGTAGCATTTGAAAGAAATACATCCAAATTGTAAATTCCAACCACTCGCTCTTATCTGAGGATGACACGTATATAAGGTGCACACGTGATTATCATTTTGTGATCTTTTCTAATAATATGATGCCACTGACATCATGCAAGTCGTGAAAAGTCTTTATCGCATGTTATCAGTATATAATTATCAGTATATAAGTATATAAATATACTTTTATTCGATTATAGATAGTACTTTTATTAGATTATTCCTTACGGGTGAAGCCAATTCGAGGAATATAAGCATAAGATAAATTTAAACATTGCATCACTACGGGTTTTGATTTATCTGGTGAGTTTTCTAACAAGTATATAACAAGTTCATTCGGTGAAGCAATCCTGTCAAACTTCAATTCTTCGGCAAATTTCCAGTACCACGTTCATATGCATAAAAAGGCTGGACGCGAATCGAAAAGACATATCATTATCCGTACGACGATGATTTCAACTGCGGAACATTTTCAGTTTTCTAAAACGTAATTTATTTAAAATTTACTATAATATCGATATCGTTCATGTCAGATTCAGTACCTTATCGAAGGGAAAGGAAGAGGGAATGGAAGGACAGTAGAATTTTTTGCAATTTTTGGAATTTATGCCACGGTGGGGTCATTATCAAAAACAACACATTTTTTCAAATTTTCAAGAATTTCTAGAATCGAACACCTATTTCGTACTTGGTGCTGCTGAAAAATAATTTGATAGAAGCCGCCTCTCAATTGTTAAAGACAACCAGAGTTCTTTATCCCCTATCATCTCCTCTCATTCGGTAGTAAAGGGGAAGGGATCATTTTATATGTAGTTACACGTGGAGATTCGAAACAAGTTTTAAAATTATCTTGTTTATTAGCCTTGGTTTCGTTATTTGTAAATCAGTCTAAATTCTAAACTGCACATTTTTGTTTTTGTCCAATTTATTTATTGCAAAACCTCAAAAAAAGCTGAAACGAATAAAAAGATCACGAAATGGAGTTTTCATCGTTTTGGAGAAGATTTAGCTGGAAAGCCTTTCTGGTGTTTGGAGCAATCTGTCTGCAAAGTGTCATAATTTACGGTTGCTCAGTCGTCCAATCAACCTTCTACGTAACTCATCTTGTCAACAGAGGTTTGAATATGATACTTTTTCTAAATCAAATTTCAGTTTCTAGGTCGTTTTCTTAAAATGAATGCTTCTTCCTCTATGGAATTCATGGTTATCACTTATTCATAAAATGGGATCAGAATTATTATTTCAAAAATCGTGTTAATTAACTCAAAATATTCATTTCAGGAATCCCGAACTTTCAAGTTGGCTTCATCGGAATGGTCTCTGCCATTGGTTACATTGGTAACACCTTTTATGATGTCACCAGCTACTTCCTCAGAACCAAAAAAATGTCCCTAAGAGTAACCCAGTCCATCCTAATGGCAATAGTCATAACCAACTGTCTTTGTAAGTATCTATTTGTTTTAAACTTCAAATGAGATTTACATTCTTATCGTCACATGTTATTAATTTTTTTCCCTTATACTCTTGCCGAAGGCAAAAAGATCGTAGGGAATAAGTAATCGGGTTTGGATATATGAGGTGGCCCGACGGTCCTACGATGTCGACAAAAGTCTGCTCCTTCGCAATATAGACCACTCCCCTATAAGTGTGTGTATTGGAAGGGTCTGTTATGCTGCGCGCGACGCTAGCCATGCATGTGTTAATTAATTACAGTGAAGTTCCTCCTTCGCAAAGTTATTTTCCGCAATTTTCTGGATTCATTTATTGTTGATGCGCGCGGCGCTACATTGGTCAAATAAATCGTCAATTTTCACCATGCACGAATCCCACTCATTTATTATTTTTTCCCTAGTCACACTTTTCACTCGAAAGAATTAATGGTACAAGATACAAGTACATCGTAGGGAAAATTGATCGTGCGTGGTTTAACCGCGGCGACATTCTTGTTGAAGAATATTATTTATAACCTACCTTGATAATTTTACTTGTCTGTCATTGGTATAAATTAATAACAATTATTAACGATTTCTGATTTCAGTATTGGGGATCGTCGAGATGCTCCCTGCACCAGACTACAACAAACTCTTGGCTGCTCTGCTGATACTACTGCGCACCATTCACGGCTACGTAACCTTCCTGGCCTCCAAGTTGACGGTAGAGTGCTGTAGAGCTTGGTTTCCTGACCACATTAATCTGACAGTTGGACTTGCGTGCAGTGCAAATTACTTGGGAGGTTCTCTTATAATTCTCATGGGAGGGCATGCCTACGAAGCTTTTGGCTACCAGGTTCCTTACCTGTTCACTGGCCTAGCTGTCATCCTATTCTGGGTATACAATTTTATTTGTATGCCAAGAACTTCTGAGCCTGTGTTTGTTAAAGTGAGAAATGCTGGTGGCATCATTGAAGCTCCTTGGTCCAGTGAAATTGTGTTAACTGAAGCTAGCTACAAAGGTAGGGTTCCAGAAAAGGGAGAAAAGGTATCTTCACTCCTTGGCCTCTCCTGGACGGTTGTCATCCCTCTTGCTGCAATGAGTCTTACAGTAGTGTTTGAAGGTTTCTCGGCGGCCATAACCACTCCTTACCTAAACGATATCTACGATCTACCCATTAGTCGTGGAAGCAGTTACGTGTTTGTGCAGTACATTGGATTGATGATAGGGGCTGTTAGTTCCGGCTCAATCTTGCAACTAGGATGGTTTTCTGCTAGCAAAATCATGGCAGCAGGGTCCTGTTTCTGTGTTGTAGGCGTGATGCTTATCTTCCCGGGGGAGAGCATTAAGTTTCTGTACGATGGAGTTCCACAGGTAGCCTATTTTGGGTTATTCCTCCAAGGGTACGGAAGCCAACTAATTGGGGTTGCCACTCTTCCAGCAGTCGAGGAGATCCACACAGTATTAGGCGGAAGACCTTACACAAGCAACAACAAGTCGACCGCTGCAACTCTGTGGCTTTGTGCCTGGATGAGCTTTGCTTATGGAGGACACTTGGTTGCCCTGATAGTGATGGGTACCATGACCTATAGTCAAGGAGGCTGGATGTTGGCAGGATTCAGTGTAGTGTCTCTTATAGTGTGCATTTCTCAGGATATTGTCATCTGGAGATCTAAAGTTGCATCAAGGCGAACCGAATTTGAACCAAGTTTGGTAAAGGTCAACAAACTTTCATGCATACAGTCGGGAGAGGATGAAAAAGGAGCTGTGTGAGTATAAGAGAGCCTGATTAGGCTAAATTCAAACTAAAGGACTCGTTTAATGGACTCCGACACATGATCTGCAGTTCAAAAGTGACTTTGTGACCGAGTGTGTTAAACTCAGCTATGATTATTTATTTACTAGTGTAACCTGTGTCTACGGCAGGGACTTCACTATCGCAGTGGAAATGCAAAAATATAAACCCGCCTCTTATATTTGAAAACACGTATAACATTGTCGTATGAAAGTATGAACTTTCTCTACAGTCCAAACTTCCAAACAGAGTGCAATCCCCCCTAATGAGCTTATATAGTATTATCTTGTGGCTAACCTAATTTTGATTCATGTACCAACGCTACATAATATGCAGCAATGGGAGAGAGAGAGAGAGCGAGGAGGGAGAAAAAGAGAGTCATTTTATGTCACATTTGTGGTACAAAACCATCAATTAAACCACTTAAACCACCGACCAATTTGAAAAACCTTATTCATTTGGCTTCGTCAGAGTTTCTTGAAACTATACCGAAAAATCAGTCCCGTAACTTTTACCGTTTTCTTGATTAAGCCGCTCGGAAATTACACGCGCACAGACAGACAGACACACATTATGAGATTATTGTTTAAGATTTGAGTTAAGTGTTGAAACATGTAACGATTAATTTATTAACATTTAATTACGTAGCAATATTTTATGGTGAAAGTATTTTACCGTAGTCTTAGCAGATGGATTTTGAGAAAGACTGACAGTGACTGTATTTCTTTAACTTATATCAAAGTAAACACTAAACGAAATATTGATTAAATTGACTTTTATCATTCGGTAAAATTTGAATTGGGGAGAACATCTCTTATATATTTCTTTTACGGCGATGATCCGAGAATTTTGACAAATTATTACGATTTGTGGTTAAAACTTTCGCCATTTTTTGAGATATTTCAAAACATGGTTAATGAAAATTACGATAACTTACGATAACCGCCAAGGGGTTTTCAACAATCAAATTAATTGTGTTTCTAATCAATCAAATTGATTGTTGGGTTAACTTCTCTGGGTTAACTTGTGGTCAGAGTTTAACGATTCATGATAAGTCGCTACCTCTTTTCAAAACCTGTTTTGAGAATGAATTGAAATGTTGTATGCCTGAAAATGACCCAATCACGAGCTTTACAAACTGAGTTTAACTATGTCAATAAATTATCAAATTCTATCCAAGTTTTTTATATCACCTCCTCTGTATAGTGTATTGGCTAGTTCGTTGACTACGCTGGTTGCTGATGTTAAATTTAAAATGTATTTAACTCTAGTCAAATTCAATCTCATTATCTTCCAAAAATCTAACCCAACCACTGCTGACTTTTTAGTGTTAAGGTAAATATATAGTGGTAAGCAGAAAATAGAAAATTGTAAAAATGTCACCTACTGTCGACTGTAATAATATAAAAACTGATATTAAAAACACCAATCAATAATCATGTTATTAAAATATCAAGCTAAATCCATTCTTATAGTCAAGTGGTGATCACTAATTATGAAACGAGCCTGATCATTAACTATAACCTTTTAATGACTAAAAGGCATTCCGTAAAATTTGTAGATCATGCAATCTGCTCGACATACACCAATCTGGACATACGACCAAACTGAAATGGTTCAGTTTGGTCGTTCCGTAGAGTGTGTTTAATTGAAACACCTGACAAGCTGCTTCATTAGATTCGTTACTTACTACAAACGTTGCCCCCCCCCCTGTAGATAGTAGATACTGACATGAATTTACTTGTTTTTGTTTTGGTATCTCATAGTATAACGCTATAACAGTCACCTTATGAGCTAGCCTTTATAGCGTTGATCAGAACGATCACGTATGCATTGCAGTACAAAGGTGCAAAACTTAACAATATAATTTATTGTGGAAGTTTTTAATAACATTATTTCAGCAAGCACAACATTATACCAAACTACGGAGACTAAATACTACACTAAAAGTAGCAACAATGCCACCGAGTTTCCGACCGAACCAGTAGAGACTGAAACTGAGGCGTGGGCAGTGCTCAAAAGTCAAGAGTATGAGTGAGTTATCAGTTCTGCAGTTTTAGTCAATATTTTGATGCAGCAATTCAGTGTATAAAACACTAAAACAGATTGGGGTTTCTGTTTGAATTGTAGCACAGAAAAACAAATTAAACGTAATCCATGTCGCCAGGTTTAAAGTAATGAAAGGGAAGCTGAAGGACGATAAGAAGGAGTGTAAGAACCAGTATGGTGTAGTGATCAAAGTCCTTAACCCTGACTCTGATGGCTATAGAGGCTATGTAAGTGAATAACATTCGCATTTCTTGAATAATATGGTTTATTATATCATTGGAATATAGATCATCTTTGTAGTTTGATTTACATAAATTTATTTTAAATTATCGCTCGATATTGCAGTATTGTTCGTGATTTGTTAAGCTTGTTCCTTACTTTCTTAATAAATGAACCCCCAGTCGCTCATGTGTTTCAAATACAAAGACCTTGAAAAA